CCTGAGGAACTAAGCTGAGGCTAGACTCCTGCTGAGACCACCTCCCAATTTAGCTCCTTCCTCTGCCTGTTTCCTTAGTACACTTCTTCTGAGCGCATCCTCCTTCAAAAACTCATGTTCATCCCAGGCCCTATCCTGTGCCAACAAAATATGTGCATCCGACCCCTATTCTCCCCCCAACACATCATGTGCTTCCCAATTCCTACTTCAGGATCTCCTTCCAGGCAACTGGTCTAAGACAGCCATACTATGAAGGCTTTTCTATCAATTAGTATAGGCTAACTTTAGGACTATTGTGAGGGGTTTTCTGGGAGGAAATGCTTCTGGGTCTTGAGGAACTGGGAGGGGGACTAGTTATTAGAGGGAGAAAGGGAACTCCAGGTACAGGGAACAGCATGTGCAAAAAAGGCTTTATGAGAATGGGGATTTTTGTCTGTTTTGTTCACTTTTTTTTATCCCTTGTGCCTAGAATAGATCAGTGCTTTCTGGGATTAGAGTGTGGAGGTCGAGCTTGGACTCTGAAGTATGTAGGTGCCTGGAGATTCCCGCTGTTAGGAGCCAACCTGCTGGCCCCCCTCCACCAGGATACCTCTAGAGAGCTAGTCGGGAGAGTTAGGAACTTGAAGTCACCAAGGGCAGCCACTTCTGAGAGTAACTGATAACCACCCTCCAACCAGATCTTTGAGTCCATTCATTTATGAAATCAGTACTTAATGAGAATCTACTATGTGCCAGACCCTACAGCAATGAATAAACCAAACCAAATGCCTTGCCCTGTGGAGCTGGCATTCCAATAGGGCAGAGAGACAGCAAACAAAATTAATGAAGTAAATAAGCAAGTTGTCTTGTATATTAGAAGGTGGTGGGTACAATTAATAGAAATAACTAAGCAAAGTGGATGGAGGATGTGAGAGAGTTTGAGAAAGAAAAGGAGGGAGGGAGGGGGAGGGGGGCAGAGAGAGAGCGATTTTAGACAGGAAGGTCATGGGACACCTCCAGGGGACGCTAAAGCAATGACTTGAAGTAAGCCAGGGAGCCCTGTGGTTACAGGCGGTAATCTAAAGGAAAGCATTTAAGAAGAACAGCCTTAGGTAGAAAGCATTTAGGGAACAAGTACAAAAACCCAGAGGCAGGAGTGTTCCTGGCATGTTCAAGGAAAGGCAAGGAACGAGTAGTGTGGCTGAAGCAAAGAAAGCAGAGGACAGGGTGAGGGAGACTGGGAGGGGATGAGGGCAAGGTGGTGACCAGAGCAGATCACACAGGGTCCTATGGGCCATGATGAGGACTTTGGCTTTTATTTTAAGTGGGAGTTGTGAAGGCTCTCATCAGAGGAGGAACAGGATCTGACTTAGATTTAATATTATCTTTGGTCCCAGTAAAGCTTTATTAAACATCACAGCCTGGCTGAGATATTCCAGGAGGAAGCAGAGAGAACTGCATTTCCAACCTGAGTCTAGGGCTAGGAGTCAGCAGTAGGAATCAGCATAAGACAATGAAGAGACTGTTCACTGAAGTCAACAGTAGTAAAGACAGCAGTCAATAAGATGAAAAATATAGGAGGGAGGAAGAGATGGAGAAATGGATGGATGGATGGATGGATGGATGGAGCATAGAGGGATGGGTGGACAGACATAAAGGGCATCTGTGAGCTGAAACTGCAGGAGACTCTCAGAAATAACTGAAAGAGGGACGCCTGGGTGGCTCAGTAGGTGAGCATCTGCCTTCATGCCTTCAGCTCAGGTCGTAATCCCGGGGTTCTGGGATTGAGTCCTACATCGGGCTCCCCTCAGGGAGCCTGCTTCTCCCTCTGCCTATGTGTCTGCCTCTCTCTGTGTGTCTCTCATGAATAAATAAATAAAATATTTTTAAAAAAAGAAAGAACGAAGAAGACACTTTCAAAAGGTCTGATTTTCAGCAAGAAATCCCCTGAAGTTTCATGCTGTAAAGTCATTACAAAAAAGCATTATAATTTCATTTTCTATCATAAGTAAAAGGCTAGGGACACTCTGGTCTATACTTACCTGCTCTATGAAGCAATGTGACGGTAATAGAGAGCCAGCAGGTCAGGTGGGCAGCTCAGTGGTTGAGCGCCTCCCTTTGGCCCAGGGCATGATCCTGGAGTCCCAGGATCTAGTCCCACATCGGGCTCCCTGCATGGAGCCTGCTTCTCCCTCTGCCCGTGTCTCTGCTTCTCTCTCTGTGTCTCTCATGAATAAATAAATAAAATCTTTAAAAAAGAAAGAAAGAAAGAAAGAAGAAAGAAAGAAAGAAAGAAAGAAAGAAAGAAAAGAAAGAAAGAAAGAAAGAAAGAAAGAAAGAAAGAAAGAAAGAAAGAAAGAAAGAAAGCTAGCTAGCTAGCTGAGTCTGGAGAGGTGGACTGGGGCCAGATCAGGTGGGCTTTATGAGCCTGCTAAGCACATTTAGCCAGCAAAGTATCCATGGGACTGTGAGGCAGGCATGGGATGGGCTCAGATTCGTATTTCAGAAAGGTCTCCCAGCTGCAGAGTGAAGAATTAGATGGAAGGACAACCAATTAGAAGACTATTGAAGTTATCCCAGATCAGAGATGTCTGAGAGCAGAGAAGTTGAGTGACTTTCCCAAAGTCACACAACTAAAGTGGCAGAGCTAAGATTTGAACCCAGGTGGTCTGGGTCTAGAACTGACACTCTGCAATAGCAGAGGCCTGGCCATTAGGTGACACCACCTGTCTTTCCTAATCAACTCTTGCCTCCAACTATAACCACACTCCCAGAGGAACAACAGGGAGAAAGAACCGGAAGTTTCATTGCAGGACTGCTGGGCCACAGGGCATGGTGAGACGTTGAGAGCCTAACAAACTTATTATGCAGGACTTGTGATCTTGACAACCCCAAGAGCCAGCAAATTCCACCGTGCTCCAACCACCTGAGGAAATCCATTTGTTCTTTTTCCTTGCTCACACACTTGCCTCCAAGAGTCTCTGGAGTTGACTATACTTACTATCTCCCCTTCTTCACTTTTCATTTTCCCTCAACCAACTCTATTCTGACTTCCACTACCATCATCATCATCACTACCACTATCACCAATGCCACCTCCACCACCTTCACCACTATTATTACCACCATCGTCACCTCCACCACCTCACCACTGCCATCGTGTCCACCATTTTTACTACATCATCATCACCACTACCGTCACTGCCTTCATTATCACCACCAGCACAACCAGCACAACTGTCCCCACCACCACCATTACCTGTACAACCACCTCTACTATCTTCACCACCAACATTATTTTCACCATCACCACCACCATCTCCACCGCCTTCATCATTGTCATCTTTATCATCATCACCACCATCATCCTCACCACTGTAACTTCTTTTGATAAGAATATAACAACCTCCCGACTGCTCTGTCCTTTGAATATTTTTCAGTCTTAATTCAGTCTGATCTCTTTCCTTTCCTTCCATGACACCGTACTCTACTCATTTCCCCCATCTGTCTAGCCACTCTTGTCCTGTCCCCTCTATTCCCTGATATTTAAACTACTTACTCAGGGCTCTCTTCTCACTCTACTATCTCTTCTTACATGATTTCATCTAGTACCATGGCTACAATTACCACCTGGGGACTGGGGGGAAAAGCCTGTCTTTTGTGAACTAGGCCATATATGTAATGAATATTGAAATCACAGTACCTCAAAATCAACTTATCCAAAACCTAATGCCATCTCTCCCCAAAAACCTGCTTTTCCCGGATGCCAGGAGCTTATTTCCCCTTAGATGTTGTAGATGCCCAGCAGTTGAGCATCTGCCTTTGGCCCAGGGTGTGATCCTGGAGTCCTGGGATCAAGTCCCACATCGGGCTCCCTGCATGGAGCCTGCTTCTCCCTCTGTCTATGTCTCTGCCTCTCTCTATCTCTCTGCGTCTCTCATGAATAAATAAATAAATAAAATATAAAATAAAATAAAACCCTGCTTTTCCTCCAAGTGCCCTTTCTCTGTAGTTCTATATAGAATGTTAACTTTGTTCTGGTGTTGTAGCACAGATCCTGTCACTTAATAATATTTGTCTTAAAAAATATTTGTTGGGGCAGCCCAGGTGGCTCAGCGGTTTAGTGCCGCCTTCGGCCCAGGGCATGATCCTGGAGACCCAGGACCAAGTCCCGCGTCGGGCAGCCTGCATGGGGCCTGCTTCTCCCTCTGCCTGTGTCTCTGCCTCTCTCTCTTTCTCTCTGTGCCTCTCATGAATAAATAAATAAAATATTTTAAAAATATATTTGTTGAAGGAGGGAAGGACTTTGTTTTTATCCCAAACCCTGCAATTGGTTTGGATTGCCCCAAATAACCAAATAATTTATCACCCTCTACTGAGTTTACTTTGAGACTCTAGCCAGATCTGTTGAGTACCATCCACTAAGCGGGTAAAAATGATAACATTTGTGAAAAATGACTCCTCCAGTAACTTTATTTTTTTTTTAAAGATTTTATTTATTTATTCATGAGAACACACAGAGAGGAGAGAGAGGCAGAGACACAGGCAGAGGGAAAAGCAGGCTCCATGCACCGGGAGCCCGACGTGGGACTCGATCCCGGGTCTCCAGGATCGCACCCCGGGCCAAAGGCAGGCGCCAAACCGCTCCGCCACCCAGGGATCCCCTCCTCCAGTAACTTTAGATACCAACAAAGATACCCTAAGTTCTGGCTTACCCAGCTCAAAACCACAGGGTTATTTAAGCTTTACTTTGACCCCAAAGTCACTTCCCATTCCTCAGACAATGATCTATGACTAAAAACCATTACTTTCCTAGGGTCAATCGGTTCTCTCACCCCAAAGGCAATCAATAGTAGCTATGAAAACCTACCACCAAAGAAGCATATGAAAACAACTGTAGAAAATAAACAAGTAAAAAAGCAGAACCATGGGTTTGATGATGAAAGATAAGAATGAGTTCCCTTTTCTGATAGAAATTTCCTTAGTCAGCTAACCTATGTATATCAATTCTCATAAGATTTCGTTGAGATAGGATAAGTGGTCAGGATAAAGCAACAAAGAACTTCAAGAGCTGGCCAGCAAGGGTATTCTGAATGCAGGAATGCGAGGGCCATCATTCCTTCCAGGTATGTGTAACCTTGGGAATGACTGTATCTTAACCTACCCCCTATCAGAAGCTACTGGGTTCAACAATTACCTGTCTTTTCCTTAGCCTTTTTCTTCTGCTCCACTTTAAACATTCTCTTTTTCCCCTGGGATTATGGTTTCCTTCCTCACCACCCTGTTCAAACTGTACCGTCAAATATCCCTAAAAATTTTCCTGATGGTCCAATCCAACCAGTTGTTCATATTCATCTTCGAAGGTTTTGTTTTCTAATTGACATCCCCTTCTCCTTGATAATTCTGTGACTTAGCACTGCCCTGACTTTTCTCTTCCTCTCTTGCCATTCTTTCCTTCCCCTTCTTTTCCTCCGTACTGTACCAGGAATATTAATATTATCCCCATCTTAGGGATGAGAAAACTGGGGCACACAGAGATTGTACTACCTGCTCAAAGTCACACAGCTTGTAAATGGCAGAGTCAGGATTCAAACCTAAGCTGCCTGGCTCCAGATCTTTGCCATAATGCTCTTCCCACAGGATTCTGCTTGAGTTTTCTCTTTTTCTGCTCCCTTTCCTAGAGGAAATTCTTTTGTTTTTAAAGATTTTATTTATTTATTCATAAGAGAGAGAGAGAGAGAGAGAAGCAGAGACACAGGCAGAGGGGGAAGCAGGCTCCCCGCAAAGAGCCCAATGCAGGACTTGATCCCAGACCCCAGGATCACGCCCTAAGCCAAAGGCAGATGCTCAATCGCTGAACCACCCAGGCATCCCTAGAGGAAACTCTTGATCCTTTGGCTTCAGTTGCCACCTCTGTGCAGATGGTTCCCCAACCCGGGAGCCCCAACCATCTTTCTGGCTTCATATCAAATAACACTATTAATAGCCACAATATCGACCTTACATTTACTGAACACATACTTTAGCCTAAAATTGTTTTACCTTCATTATTGCACAACACCTTCGCATGACAGATGCAAAATAGCATTACAGAGAGATTATAAGATTTGTTTAACGTCTCAGAGCTGTTCAGTTGTAGAGGCAGGTGGTAGATCATGAAGTCTATCAAAACAATATAAGCTTCTTGAAGGTAAATGCCATGTGCTCTCACATTTGCAGTGCCTTCCATATCTTATATATAAGAGGTGTCTGATATTTATCTATGAAATCAAATTTAAGTGAGACAGTGTGCAATTTTTTATATATCTCAATAAAGCTTAAATAAAATGTAAAAAAAAAAAAACAGAGAGAAGCCCAAACAAGATGTTTCCTGCTTTTGCCAACTGGAGGCAGAGTCCTGGACACTTCTGGGATGGATTATTTGTGAATTCAGTTACCTGTGTACCCTCTGCCCACATCACTGGATGCAACAGGCAGTGTAACCGAATGAGCCTCTGGTCAAAAATAAGAATAGGATTCTAGTGCAAATAAAATGGTAACAGAAAAAAAAAAAAAAACAATGGTAACAGAGACAGCTAGCATTTATGGAGTGATTGCTGCCATACATTGTGCTTCATGCATGCCCTTGTTTATGTCATCACCCTTAACCCCAGGTAGTAGGTAATTCTGTGGCCATGTTTCATATAAGGAAACAAATTAAACAATTTGCACAAATAGAGTCCAAGCCACTTGACCTCCAGGGACCTGTTTCCTCATGAACAAAATGAGTCAGTGAATGATTTCTAAAGTTTCTTAGGACTCTTAGATGCAAGCATGCTCATGACTCTTAGGAAACCCTAATTTAAGACACATGTACGTATTATTGAGCACAGGGTTGCTGGCTGGACTTGAAGACTAGCCTTGAGGAAACCTGGTAGTGCCCAGACTGCCTGAACTTCAGGAACTAGGAAATGCTTTTCTTTTTTTTTTTTTTAATTTTTATTTATTTATGATAGTCACAGAGAGAGAGAGAGAGAGAGAGAGCAGAGAGGCAGAGGGAGAAGCAGGTTCCATGCACCGGGAGCCCGATGTGGGATTCGATCCCGGGTCTCCAGGATCGCGCCCTGGGCCAAAGGCAGGCGCCAAACCACTGCGCCATCCAGGGATCCCCAGGAAATGCTTTTCAATCTGTATGTTTTACCAACTGGCTCTGTGAGCTATAGTCATCATTTGGGCAGGTGTAGTGTTACTGCAGCTTCTGCAAATTAATTATTATACAAAAGTAGTGGAAGGGAAATTTAAATTCATTGGGAAATATGCCAGGGCCCTGCCATTAAGCAATTTACAGCTCAGCTGAGAATATTTTCACTGAACAATCAAAAATATTCACAATGCTCCATGAATGCAGTTGCATAAAGTATCTGATAACAACTGGCACCTTCTCTGATGAAAGATGGGAGCATGAAAGGATGAATAACAGCCCTCCAAAGATGTCAATGTCCTAATCCCCTGGAACCTGTGAATATGTTAGCATAATTGCATAGGGGAGAAAACACTTCACCTCTACCCTCTTAGGGTCTCTGGTTGAAAATCAGAATTGTGCTGACAAAAGACAAATTAATAGGAGAGAAGCAGACAAGTATTATTAAACTGAAGCATGTAAATGAAAGCCTTCACAAGGGAATGAAGACCCAGGGAAGTGGCCAGAGCACAAAGTTTTTGTGCCTTTTGGACAAAGAAATGATGACTTTGTGAAATGACAAAACAAAGAAAGGGATTTGGGCTAGGGATGGCGAATTGCAAGAAAGTACTAGGGGGTCTGTCCACAGGGTAACTGGAGGAAGACAAGAGCTATTTCAGAGAGTGTTGTACAGATCCATTTCAGTGTTCATGCCCAGTCTCTGGTGATAAGGACATTCTTTCCTTCCTGGCACAGGGAGGGCACCTTTCTCAGGGGAAATTGTATAGCCTGATTTTAAGTAGGAAAAGATAGGTCAGAAAACCCTTCCAACACATGCTGTTTCTCAAGTGCCTTCTACTCCAAATAAGCAACACACCAAAGTGGCATATTTTGGGGTGGCATGTCCTGAGCAACTTCACGTGGTCAAAGGGACTTTATAGATATGGATTAAGCTAAGGATCTTGAGATGGGGAGATTATCCTGGATTATACAGGCAGGCCCATTATACTCATGAGGGTACTTACAAAAGGGAGGCAGGAGACCAGAAAGGAAGGTGCTACTGGCTATGAGGATGGAAGAGGAGACCATGAGCATGGAATGTGGGTCACTTCTGACAGTTAGGAGTGGAAGGAAATGGATTCTACTCTAGAGTTTCCAAAAGGAAGCAGTCCCACTGATATCTTTTTTTTTTTTTTTTAGATTTTATTTATTTATTCATGGGAGACGCAGAGAGAGAGAGAGAGAGAGAGAGAGAGGCAGAGAGAAAAGCTCCCTCCATGCAGGGAGCCTGATGCGGGACTTGATCCCAGGACTCTATCCCAGGACTCCAGGATCACTCCCTGGGCCAAAGGCAGGAGCCAAACCGCTGACCACCCAGGGATCCCCATCCCACTGATATCTTAATGTCAGCCCAGTGAGACTAACTTTGGATGTCTGGCCTACAGAACAATATGGGAATACATTTCTGTTGTTTTTAAGCCACTAAATTCATGGGAATTTGTCAGCAATCAGAAATTTATACCAGGAAACCCAAAAAGAACTGGCATTGCCCTCCCTCCCACTGTTAAAGGATCACTGCTAGCCCATAGGGCTTTGTCTCCCAAATCTTGCATTGGTCGAGATCCCCAAATAACCAGGTAATATATTCCACCTCCTACTGGACTGTCACATCTGGGGAACACCACTCCTGGAAGAAAAGGCACCTTTTCCTCAAGTCAGCTGTCACTAGAAACATGCCAATCTCAACAGCAGCCCCATGCACTGGGCATGTGTGGGATTTCTGCAAGAGAGGTCATGGGTTGGGGGGTAGATTATCAGCAGGAACCCAGCACCTGAGTTTAGTCTCAGCTCTACCACTGACAAGCTCTGGGAAATGCAGCAAATGCCTTAGCCCTCTGTGCCTCTGTTTCTTTTTTTTTTTTTTTTTTTTTTTTTTTTTTTTTACATAGGAAATCTCTATTTTTATTCTTTCAGTTTTCAGTATGTTCCAAATTTTCCTTAGTGAACATTAAAAAAATTTTAAATATGCATTTTTTTTTATAAATTAATTTTTATTGGTGTTCAATTTACCAACATACAGAATAACACCCAGTGCTCATCCCATCAAGTGTCCCCCTCCGTGCCCGTCACCCATTCACCCCCACCCCCCGCCCTCCTCCCCTTCCACCACCCCTAGTTCATTTCCCAGAGTTAGAAGTCTTTATGTTCTGTGTCCCTTTCTGATATCTCCCACACATTTCTTCTCCCTTCCCTTATATTCCCCTTCACTATTATTCATATTCCCCAAATGAGTGAGAACATACACTGTTTGTCCTTCTCCGATTGACTTACTTCACTCAGCATAATACCCTCCAGTTCCATCCACGTTGAAGCAAATGGTGGGTATTTGTTGTTTCTAATGGCTGAGTAATATTCCATTGTATACATAAACCACATCTTCTTTATCCATTCATCTTTCGATGGGCACCGAGGCTCCTTCCACAGTTTGGCTATTGTGGACATGGCTGCTAGAAACATCGGGGTGCAGGTGCCCCGGCGTTTCATTGCATCTGAATCTTCGGGGTAAATCCCTAACAGTGCAATTGCTGGGTCGTAGGGCAGGTCTATTTTTAATTCTTTGAGGAACCTCCACACAGTTTTCCAGAGTGGCTGCACCAGTTCACATTCCCACCAACAGTGTAAGAGGGTTCCCTTTTCTCCGCATCCTCTCCAACATTTGTTGTTTCCTGCCTTGTTAATTTTCCCCATTCTCACTGGTGTGAGGTGGTATCTCATTGTGGTTTTGATTTGTATTTCCCTGATGGCAAGTGATGTGGAGCATTTTCTCATGTGCATGTTGGCCATGTCTATGTCTTCCTCTGTGAGATTTCTCTTCATGTCTTTTGCCCATTTCATGATTGGATTGTTTGTTTCTTTGGTGTTGAGTTTAATAAGTTCTTTATAGATTTTGGAAACTAGCCCTTTATCTGATATGTTATTTGCAAATATCTTCTCCCATTCTGTAGGTTGTCTTTGAGTTTTGTTGACTGTATCCTTTGCTGTGCAAAAGCTTCTTATCTTGATTGTGCCTCTGTTTCTTAATCTGCACAACCAGGATCATGCTAATAGCACTCACCTCCTAAAGTTGTTGCAAAGCTGAATTAAGTTCATGTGATGGTGCTTAGAAGAACAATGCCTGGCATTCAGTAAGAGTTTATTTCCCCTTAGATGTTGTAGAGGCTGGCCTTTGTATTTTGCCCAGCCCACTCTGTGTGTGTATGTGTTTGGTGAGAACATATAACACAAGATCTATTCTTTTAACATATCTTGAAGTGCACAACACCGTATTGTTAACTATTGGTACTAGGTTTTATGGCAGATCTCCAGAACTTATTCACCTTGTATAACAAAAACTTTATACCTATTGAAAAGTAATTTCCCAGGGTGTTATAATATATGTTGGCAAATCTAACTCCAATAAAAAATATACAAAAAATAATAATAATAATTTAAAAAGAAAAGTAATTTCCCATTTCCCTCTTCCCCTAGCCCCTACTGACTACTAATCTATTCTCTGCTTCCATGAGTTTGACTACTTTAGATATTTCATGTAAGTGAAATGATGCAGTATTTTTTCTTCTGTGTTTGGTTTATCTCACTCAGAATAATGTCCTCTAGTTTCATACCTATTGCCACAAACGTCAAGATTTTCTTATTTTTTTAAGGCCAAGTAATATTTCATTGTATATATATATATATATATATATATATATATATATCACATTTTCTTTACCCATTTATCTGCAGGACCCACTTTCTCAAGGGGTAACCAAAGTTGCAAATAAGATGACTGGCCACCAGAGCTAAATTTCAACCAGTGCACACTAGAAGAGCCACCAGTTGGTTGTTCATCTTGAAATATCCTCACACCATTTGTAAATAATCATTGCTAAGAACCAGCTCCCACCACATTCCTGCCAACCCAGACCCTGCCCTGGGACCCCACCCACCCCACAATTCAGTAGCTAAAATAACAAACATCTGCTATAACAGCAGAGAAGGATCTCCAGTGTCCTCTCTGATTGGTCAATTCCTGCACCATTCCAGCTGTCAATATTGTCCTTGCAAATGGCAAATAGATCTAGACATTAGTATGTAATAAGAGAATGAAAAAAAGGTGAGGAGAGAACTAGCAGAGTGGTGTCGGATTTCTCAGGAAAGAAAAAGAGAAGCAACTCATCTATCCAGGAGCTTTGGGTCTTTGTAGAAGGAGGAACATGGCTGCTGACCTCATGAGCAGTTGAAAAGGTTTGGGGAAGAGAAAAGAGCACTTTATCAACCACAGTAAATCAGCCTATATTTCCCAAGCTGGCCAAAACCATACTTCCCTTCCAAGAAGTGCTTTAGAATCTTGCCAACCTTCCCTCAAAAGGAAGAATGATTCTTATCCACTTGAATCTGAGTGGACTTGTAATTTGCTTGTAACCAAGAAAATGTGGTGAAAGATGAATTGCATGGCTTCCAGGGCTGGATCCTAAGGGGAGACGTACCCTTATTGGCTGGACCACTTCTACTTAGAGCTCTGAACAGCCATGCAAGCTGAGGTCACCATGTTGGGAGCAGGCCACACTCCTTGAGTCTGAGGCTATGGGAGGGGTTGACAGTGCACAGCCAGTTCCCAGCTGCTCTAGCCCCAGAACTACCTAACTGCAGCTGTACAAGAAACCTTAAGCCAGAATCACCCAGCTGAGCCTTTCCCAGATTCCCAAACCACAGAAACCATAAGAGATAGGAAAATGACCATTGCTCTTTTAAACCACTATATTTCATGACAGTTTTTATGCAGCTGTGAATAACTGACGAACAGCCCTTGGAGAATTTCCTGGAATCTTTCCTCATTTATTTCATGTGTCTCCTTTCTGCTTCCCTATTCCAGGACTCTTCTTTCTGCTGAGTTTATCAGAAGTCATCATTCATAAGACCAAAGGTAAGTGCTCAGTGCCTGACTTCTCCACAGCCAGAGACCAAGAAGGGTGTAGACCAAGGATGTACCTGGGATAACTCACATTCTCCAATGGACTAGAACAAAGGGGCTTGTTCTGGGAGCAGAATTTAGGGAGGCTTGCTCCTGTCATTCTTTTTTAATTCATCATTTCATCAAATTTTAATGCATTTGTTTAAGTTTCATTAATTTAAGTAATCTCTACACCCGACATCAGGCTCAAACTCACAAACCCAAGCTTAAGAGTCACATGCTCTTCCAACTGAGCCAGGCAGGCGCCCCTTAATGTATAATTTTATTTTATTTTCCTTTGTTCATCTGTTTTCAGTAACCACAATATGCCCAATGTAGGAATGGAATAGTGGCTAAAACATACAAAGTCTCACTAAGTGAACATTCTGGTGGGTAAAGACAGCATTATGGTAACCATTTCATTCTGATCATAAGTGAGTCACCAAAAAAAAAAAAAAAAGAATGTGATGATTTTAGACTAACTTTAATCCCTTGGAGCTCTCACCAGATTCTGATTCAGCAGGTTTAGGGTAGGTCCTGAGATTCTTCCTTTCTAGCCAACCTCCAGGGGATGCCTCCTGAGTAACCAGACTGTGCACTGTGGCCCCCATCACATTCCCAGCCCCCACTCCCTGTGAACACTGCACAGTTCCCAGATTTCTCCACTAGACCCAAAGCTCGAGATACTTTCTTAGCTCCACTCATTACCAAGGGGGCTCAAATTAAGATCTTTAATGTCTCTCTGTCCAAATGAAGTTATACATAGTGTTACAAAGATAACATGTAGGGATCCCTGGGTGGCGCAGCGGTTTGGCGCCTGCCTTTGGCCCAGGGCGCGATCCTGGAGACCCGGGATCGAATCCCACGTCGGGCTCCTGGTGCATGGAGCCTGCTTCTCCCTCTGCCTATGTCTCTGCCTCTCTTTCTCTCTCTCTGTGACTATCATAAATAAATAAAAATTAAAAAAAAATTAAAAAAAAAAAACAAAGATAACATGTATATATCAGAATATACCTCCTGTGGATCCCTACAAATTCAAATTTTTATAACCCTAACTAATACTTATTATGTGCCAAGCACTGCCCAACACATTTTATATGTATCAATTCACTTACTCAGTCTACAGATGAGGGTATTGAGGCACAGAGAGGTTAAGACACTTTTACAAAGACACACAGCTGGTAAGTAGCAGAATCAGAATCAAACCCAGGATCTTAACCAATTCATTCCATCTTTTATAAATTCTTCCAGAGAATAGCACAATTATATCACGTTGAAATTTTTGTGTTAAAATTAATTTAAGACCTTTATCATGCAAACGAATCTTTTGTTGTTGTTGTTGTTCTGTAACTTGGGTTTGGTATCTCTCATTTTTTAATGTACTGAAATCTCACAAGTGAAAAAGGGTATAGGCAGCTTCATCCTCTAGAGGGCCTGGTTACAGGCAAAGCCAAATGATAATGGGACATCCTTTAACCTCAGGGATGTTTGACCTACCCCTCCTTCTTCCTGCAGCTTCCTGTACCTGCCCCCAACATGCTTACTGTGTCAATGGCACTCAGTGTACCTGCGACCATGGATACGTTTCTAGGTCTGGGAATGAATTCTTCACATTCCCCTTGAACACATGTGAAGGTAAGGGATAATTTTCAAACCACCTGGAGCCGGGAGTGGAAAGGAAACACCATAGAGATCATGAGGAGATCATGAGGAAACAAATGCCAATAATGTGTACTGCTAAAAAGTCTACCAAGTCCACCCTCATGAAGAAAGAAACACTTATACAAAATCAGCATTTCCCCTTAAATGTTTTTTAAGAGAGAATGAGTAAGAATGGAGGGTGAGGGAAGGGGAGAGAGAGAGAGAGAGAGAGAATCCCAAGCAGGCTCCATGCCCAGCACAGAGCCAAATAAGGGGCTCCATCTCATGACCTGAGATCATGACCTGAGCTGAAACCAAAAGTCATAAACTTAACTGACTGAGCACCCCCTCCCTGGTGCCCCAGAATTTCCCTTTATATATTTTGAAGTTCTAATATACTTTCTAGTATATTTTTCCACCTCTTCCACCCCTGGTTACCTTCTCTTAACTTCATAACGAAACATGTGTTTCTCTACTATTATTTTTTTAACTCATCAATTATTTCCCCTTCCAAGATGCCTTGTTTTCCCCCATCATTTCAGGTGAAGGGGATGAGAATGCCCTCACCGTGATGAGCACTGAGTAACATATAGAATTGTTGAATCGCAGGGACCCCTGGGTGACTCAGTGGTTTAGCGCCTGCCTTCAGCCCAGGATGGGATCCTGGAGTCCCTGGATCAAGTCCCACATCAGGCTGCCTGCATGGAGCCTGCTTCTCCCTCTGCCTGTATCTCTGCCTCTCTCTCTCTCATAAATAAAAAAAAATAAAATCTTTAAAAAAAAAAGAATTGTTGAATTACCATATTGCACATCTAGAACTAATCTAACACTGTATGTTCATTATACTGGCATTTAAAAAAAAAGGATGCTTCATTTCACCCTCATTTCCCCTCTCCTAATAAAGAGATGAGATCTGTAAAATACTGTTATTTCACCCCCTCCCCATCTCCCCTGCCACATCTCATGAATTTAACTTTATCTCAAGGTTCACTGCTCACCCCTGCTTCCTCTTCCCTTCATCTCCCCTGATGTTGAGTGTTCTGTAGTTCCTGGTTTCATATTTGTTAATTCATTGTTTGTTTCCCACATGCTCTCTTCAAACCTGCCCGCACAGCTAATGTCTCTCACTCCATGAATGCACTGTCTCTCATTTCTTTGGCTCTAAGGAGTAGGTTCTATCCTGCCTCAGTGGGAGAACATTTTCATTCTGTCCTCTTCTCCGAGGGATCCATCAGTGAATATCCCAGCGATCAGAGAAGTATCTTCAAGCTCACAGGGATGCAGATGGGAATTCCAACAGCAGTCTGAGTCTCATTCCTTTGTAGTGATTTTTGTCTTGGGCTTAGGTTCCTTGCAGAAGCCCCAGGAAGATCAGCCTTACATTTCATTGGCAAGGGGTGTGGAGTGAAAGCTGGAGGAGAGGCTGGCGGAGAGATCGCCTAGGAATTGGGACAAAACTGCCATGTCTGGCCTCCTCAAAAGAGAATAGTTGTTGAGTGGACAACTGAGAGCAACTGCTCTACTATATCATGGTCTGAAAATTCCCGATTTCATGTTTGCCATACCAGATGGGGAAATCACACATCTTTACTACCTACCTGACATTTGCAAAGGGGGTACAGTAAGCCTTGGGACTGGAGACACATTGACTTAATCCAGACATCCTAACTCAATTAGTTAATCTAGCAAGGGTATTACTCTGCTCGGGTGGCTTTGACAAAACACCACAGACCAGGTGGCTTAAACAACAGAAATTTATTTTCTTACAGTTCTGAGGCTGGGAAGCCCATGGTGAAGGTTTTGGCAGTTCCACTTTCTGGGGAGGCCTCTATTCCTGACTCGAAGATGTCTTCTTGCTTTATCTTCACATGGTCTTTCCTCACTATGTGCACACAGTGGTCAGGCAGGTGAAGAAGCTCTTGTGTCACTTCTTCTACAGATACTAATTCTAACAGATCCAGGCCCCATTATTAGGACCTCATTCAACCTCAGTTACATCCTTAGAGGCCTCATTTCCAAATACAGCCACACTGGAAGTTAGGTTTTCAACATGTTGAACTGGGGGAACATACAAACATTCAGTTCATAACAGCATATACAGTCAGTTTCCCACTTTTATGCCCTCAGCACTTGCCATTCTTTTGCATACTAAGTATAAGGCTCTCTCTGGCTACTGGAGACCACTCAGTTCATGCTCAGGACAGGTGGAAGTACCAGTAACTATCCCTGCAAACACTTCTCTGCTGATAAATGATAAGATTTGGCAGATAAAAGCATTATCAACAATAGCCAAATTATGGAAAGAGCCCAAACGTCCATCGACTGTGAACGGATAAAGATGTGTTTAGGGGCGCTGGGTGGCTCAGTCGGTTAAGCATCTACCTTCAGCTCAGGTCATGGTCCCAGGGTCTTGGGATCAAGTCCTGCTTCAGGTTCCCTGCTCATCAAGGAAACTGCTTCTCCCTAACCCACTCCCCCTGCTTGTGTTCTCTCTCTCTGTCAAATAAATAAATGAAGTCTTTTTAAAAAGATGTGTTTAGAGAGAGAGAGATAATGGAGTATAACTCAGCTATCAAAAAGAATGAAATCTTGGGATGCGTGGGTGGCTCATTGGTTGAGCATCTGCCTTTGGCTTAGGGCATGATCCCGGAGTCCCAAGATCGAGTCCCACATCAGGCTCCCTGCATGGAGTCTGCCTCTGCCTCTGCCTATATCTCTGCCTCTCTCTCTCTCTCTCTGTCTCTCATGAGTAAATAAATAAAAAAATCTTTAAAAAAATGAAATCTTGCCATTTACAATGATGTATATGGACCTAGAGTATATTATGCTAAGCAAAATAAGTCAGTCAGAGAAAGACAAACACCATATGATTTCACTCATATATGGAATTTTAAAAATGAAACAGATGAACATAGGGAAAGGGAGAAAAAAAGAGACAAGCCATAAGAGACTCTTAACTATAGAGAACAAACTGAGGGTTGCTGGAGGGGATGTGGGTGGAGGATGGCCTAGATGGGTGATGGGGATTAAGGAGGACATTTGTTGTAATGAGCACTGAGTGTTGTATATAAGTGATGAATCACTAAATTCTACTCCCAAAACTGATATTACACTATATATTAACTAACTACAATTTAAATAAAAACTTAGAAGAAAAAAATTTGACAGGTAAATACCCTAGCCCCCTCACCCCTTGAGGAGTCACTCTGCAGCCTGTGCCCTCCTCTGTCTCCCAGAGGGTCCCAGGGGAATCAAGTCCCAATTGCCACAATGGAAACTTCTCTCTTTACTCTCTATCTGGCTTTCCCTGTCTCATTTCACCACTTCCTTTCCAGTGTTTTCTAAGATCACCTCCTACATAAGGTACCTGAACATGAATTCATGTCTCAATGTCTGCTTCTCAGAGAATCCAACCAAAGTCAATGAGGAAAGGGAAAAACAAAGACAACCCACTACCTTAACTGAGTTGTCCTGGAAAACCAGGACAGATTGAGTAGAAAGGGTATAGCCTCTGGCACATATCAGATGTTCCATAAATCTTTGTCCAATTAATGGCCAAATTCTTCTTCTGTGTTCCAGATATTGATGAATGTAAGCCACCCATTAATATATATTGTGGAACAAATGCTGTATGTCAGAATGTCGACGGAGGTTTCCACTGTCTCTGTAATCCTGGATACAAACTCCTCTCTGGGGACACACAATTCCAGAATTCCAATGAAAACACTTGCCAAAGTAAGGAAATTCTTGTCTTCTTGTCTGTCTCCTTTCTTAATTTTCATTGAGTCTAATGCCAGAAAAGGGGGGGGGGTGCGCGCGCGTGTGCATTCACACTTATGTATGAGGTGAGGCTAGTATGTGTTTCCACTTTCTGGAAGTAAATGGATGATGGAAAGAGGAGAAAAAGGGAAAGAAGGACAAGACAAGAGGACTTTGGAAATGGGGATGACAAGGCACCAACTGAGACAGGATTCTTTGAATTGCAAAGAAGAGCTAACTCGGGATAACTTAAGCAGAAAAGATGAGTTTATGATAAGAATGCGTGGATATGTCTTGGAACTCAAGAACAAGAATACAGCTGAGCTTCCTAAATGAACTGAAATGGGGACTCCACACTATCAAGACACCCTAGTATCTGAAGCTCCTTGGGTCTACTCCTTTCTTCTTTTTCAGTGCAAACTGGCCTTCTCTGCCTTCTTAGTCCACAGGACAGGAAATATGGCCACCAACACGTCCAAATTTTACCATTGTTAGTGACTCAATCACCCAAAGAGAGATCAACTGACTCTCTTTTGGACTTAATTGTAAATTCTTTGGAAATGTACCAATTAGTCCAGTTTGAGCTATGTGTTTAGTACAGTTTGAGTTATGTGCCCACCCTTGGATTTGTGTCCAAGAAGCACCATCTTGTATAAGCACTAGCACTTTCATGGAAACCATATAGACAGGGAAATCTATGCACAAGAAATATGGAGATACAGCTGGGAGACGCTCAAAAGAGCACAGCCTTACCAGTGAACAAGAATGTTAGTTCAAAAGAAAAAAAGGGAACAAACAAGATCCAGACTCATAGAGAACAAACCAGCAGTTGCCAGAAGGGAGGTTGAGAGCAGGGGGGAATGGATGGAATAGGTGATGAAGATAAAGAGTACATTTATCCGGATGATCACTGATGATCATGTACAGAAAATGTATGTTCATGTGCAGAAATGTAATGTACAGAATTGTTAAATTACTATATTGGACACCTGAAACTAATATAATGTTGTATGTTAATGACACTGGAATTTTAAAATTAATGAATAAATTTTTTTTAATTTAAAAAAGTGTGAGTTCAGACCTTCTAGATGCAAAGTTAGGCACCTTCCTGTCCACTTCTCCACCCTTTTATTCTCAGTTCCAGCAGTAACTTCCTTTGATGTCTTTTGCAGAAACCACTTCCTCAACAACAACCGAAGGCATGAAGAATGTGAGCAGAAGCCCAGCCCCTGAACCCAGCCAGGTAACTAATGTTTACAAATCCCAAAATTAGCAAGTGGATGTGGATACTATATATTATATGTCTACTATACATTGTATATTATATATGTATCATATAGGTGTGATATGTTGTTAATATTATATATTACATGTTATGGTATGTGACATACTTTAATAGTTTTATTTATAGGGCAGCCCGGGTGGCTTGGTGATTTGGTGCCTGTCTTCAGCCCAGGGTGTGGCCCTGGAGACCCAGGATCAAGTCCCGCAGTGGGCTCCCTGTGTGGAGCCTGCTTCTCCCTCTGTGTCTCTGCCTCTCTCTCTCTGTCTCTCATGAATAAATAAATAATTTTTTAAAAAAATAGTTTTATTTATAATATAAATCAATTATAATACAGTAGTACAATGTTATAAATCATTTATATTATGTATAAATTATGTATAATTTATATTATGTATAACTGTGAAGTATACAAATATATCACATTTATCACTATATGTATATTGCTAAATATCTCATGGTAGAGATAGCATATGTCCACATGGATGTTTGCATGTATGTATATTGCCCCCTACAGATAGGATCTAACCCAGACCAAGAAAGAAAGACTGAAACTATATCAAGTTATGCTGAGGGACACCTGGGTGGCTCAGCGGTTGAGCATCTGCCTTCAGCTCAGGGCATGATCCTGGAGTCCCAGGATGAAGTCCCGCATTGGGCTCCCACATGAAGCCTGCTTCTCTCTCTGCCTGTCTCTCTCTTTTTTTTTTAATTTTTTTATTGGAGTTCAATTTGCCAACATTTAGCATAACACCCAGGGCTCATCCCGCCAAGTGCCCCCTTCAGTGCCCATCACCCTGCCTGTGTCTCTCATGAATAAATAATATTTTTTTAAAAAAGTTATGCTGAGGGGATCCCTGGGTGGCTCAGTGGTTTAGCGCCTGCCTTTGGCCCAGGGCGCGGTCCTGGAGTCCCGGGATCGAGTCCCACGTCGGGCTCCCTGCATGGTGCCTGCTTCTCCCTCTGCCTGTGTCTCTGCCTCTCTCTCTATGTCTATCATGAATAAATAAATAAATAAATAAATAAATAAATAAATAAATAAATAAATAAATATTTAAAAAAAAAAGGTATGCCGAACTGCTGCAACAAAGAGACCCAAATATCAAACTGCTTGAAAAAGATGGATCTCTGTTACTTTCTGAGTTAACAGTCCATGCTGGTGAAAAGATTGTGCTCATGGGGTCATTAAGGGTACTCACATTCTTCACAAACAGCTGCCCCACCATCCCCTGGCATCTTGTACTCGATGCCATGGCCAAAACTGGGTTGTCACAATGTGGCTTTTGTACCAGTGGGTAGAGAGGAAATGAGTCCAGGGCAATTTGCCTGGAGTACAAGGTGAAGAGGGGAGAGTGGAGAAAAAGGGATACATCTACTCACTCCATCATATGCTAATGAAATTGTGATAATTTGCTTGGAGATCTCTTAAAGCAACAACCCAGAAGTTGAAGGTATAATGGCCAAAACTAGCTGCAAGGGAAGCTATGACAATGTAGTCTGTATATGGGGAACATGGTCCAGATAAAATTTGAGGAATTCATTCAATCAGTAAAAGGAAGGGGGAGAGGAATGGTTATTGTAGGCAGTTACAACAGACAGATCAAGAAAGTGCCTGTTTAGACAGAGAAGCATAGAGGAAAATAGAACAAGATGAAATCAGAGAGGGAGACAAATAAGAGACTCTTAATCATAGGAAACAAACTGAGGATTGCTGGAGGGAAGAGGGGGATGAGGTAACTGGGTGATGGGCATTAAGGAGGGCACTTGATGTAATGAGCACTGGGTGTTGTAGGCAACTGATGAATCACTAAATTCTACCTCTGAAACTAATGACACACTATATTTTAATTAATTGAATTTAAATAAATTAAGTTTTAAAAAAAGAAAGTGCCTATTAGGTAGTAATCACTTAGCACCTGTAAACTGACTCTGAATGTTAACAGAGAACGACCCATGTCTCTAAGAACCTAGAGTCTAGCAGAATGGCCTTGTCCCTTCAGTTGAAGTTTTGGGGAACCCTGCATGGAACAAATTGGTGCTATTTTTCCAACAGCTTTTGCTTGCTTCATGTCTCTGTGTCACATTTTGTGAATTCTCACAGTATTTCAAACTTTTTCGTTATTATTATATTAATTACGGTGATCTGTGATCAATGATTATGACTCACTGAAAGCTCAGGTGATGATTAGCATTTTTAGCAATAACGTATTTTTTAAGGTTTACACATTGTTTATTTTGATTGATTGATTGATTGATTGGCTGTTTTTATTTTGATTCGTTAGCTAACATAGTGTTATATTAGTTTTAGGTGTACAATATAATGATTCAACACTCCCACACATCATCTGGTGCTAATGGGTGAAATGCACTTGTCGTGATGAGCACTACGAGATATAACATTTGTACATTTTTGGGCAGCCCTGGTGGCTCAGTGGTTTAGCGCGGCCTTCAGCCCAGGGCATGATCCTGGAGACCCGGGATCGAGTCCCACGTCGGGCTCCCTGCATGAGGCCTGCTTCTCCCTCTGCCTGTGTCTCTGCCTCTGTGTCTCTCGTGAATAAATAAATAAAATCTTTTTTTTAATTTTGTACATTTTTTAGATAGAATGCCGTTGCACACTTAATAGACTACAGTATAGTGTAAACAAAACTTTTATATATACTGGGAAACCAAAAACTTTATTTGAATAGCTTTACCATGATACTTACTTTATTGCGGTGGTCTGAAACCAAACCTGCAATACCTCTGAGGTGTATGTACCCACAAATCCCCTAGGGAATGTGTTACAGTACAGATTTGGGTTCAGCCCACCAAGAGACTGCATTCCAAATGGGCTGCCAGGTGATGCTGATGCTGCCAGTCCTTGTTTAAGTACAAGGATACATACAGGGATTCACATAAAAATTGTCTTCCAAATCACCTATATTACAGTTCTATTACACTTATATTTATAAAACTTCACCTTGGCTCTTCATTCTTCTCACCCTGTGGCTCATCTCTTTGCTTTACTTCATAGATAAATTTCTTGATTTAAAAAGGCCAATTAGTGGGATGCCTGGGTGGCTCAGCGGTTGAGCGTCTGCCTTTGGCCCAGGGTGATCCCAGAGTTCTAGGATCGAGTCCCATATCGGGCTCCCTGCAAGGACCCTGCTTCTCCCTCTGCCTATGTCTCTGCCTTCTCTCTGTGTCTCTCACAAATATAATAAAAATCTTTTTAAAGAATAAAATTAAAATTAAAAGGCCAGTTAGGGGACACATGGGTGGTGCAGTTGGTTAAGCATCTGTCTTCAGCCAGGTCATGAACCCAGGGTCCTGGGATAGAGCCCCACATCAGGCTCCCTGCTCAGTGGGGAATTTGCTTCTCTCTCCCTCTCCCCATCTCCCTGCTTGTGCTTTCCCTTTTTTTCTCTCTTAAATAAATAAAATATTTGTTAAAAAAAAAAAAAGGCCAGTTAGAATGCCTTTTGAGCTATAACTCTACTTCACATTTTCTCAGCTTTGGCACCATTGATATCTTAGCCTGGGTCACTTTCCTGGGAAGAGGGCTGTCCTGTGGATTATACGGTATTGAGCAGCAACCCCTGGCCCCCACCCACTAGATACCAGTAGCATCGCCTCAGTAGTGACAATCCAAATGTCTCCAGACATTACCAAATGTCCCTGGAGGCTCAAAATTACCCTAATGGAGAAACACTGGTTCATTTCTGGCAACCTTACCACTCCTCTGTTGGTAAAAGATGTTCATAATAACTAACTCTCATCTGGTGCTTACCTGGCACAGACACTGTTCTAAAAAGGTAGCATCTCTTAATTCATTTAATCTTCCAAAAAAACCTATGATATTCTTTTATTGTCCCCATCCTAACATGGGGAAACCGAGGCACAGAACATTGAGTGATTTTTCCAAGTTCACACAGCCAGTCGGTGGTGGAGTCAGGATTGAAACTGGGTCCTCTGGCTCCAGAAGCTGCATTCTCATGCTTTCTACTTTCCCTCAGGGTGTGGGATTAATCAGATTGGATTTTTTTTTTCTTATTCTTTGTATCTTCAAAGCTGCAACGTGTTGTTGAGACATTCAAGTCATTTCTCACTAATTACACCACTCTACCGGGAATGGGAGAGAAGGGAGAAGTCGCATCTTGGGCCACGACTGTTCTCCAAGATATGGAATCTGAGGCTCTACAAATTGCCTTGAAATTCCCGGAGCAAAAAATCCAGAAAATCCACAACAGTATTATGGGTAAGAAGAGGATATGGCCTGATACACACAGGGGGCTAGTTACAAGCTGGAATCTGGGTTACACAATTAGAAAAATAAATGTCCTGTTTGAGTCCACTTATATAGACTTCTAGAAAATGCAAGGTAATCTATGATGCCCCAGGGGCTGGAGGGTGTGGTGGAGGGAGTAGGGAAGCAGGAGTAAAAAAGCATGAGAAAATTTGAGGAGACTGCTGGGAATGAGAGACATGTTCAGTACCTTGATTATGGTGTTGGTTTCACAGGTATATACTATATATATGGGTATATATGTTCAGTAAGGCTCATCAAATTGTACACTGTATTATGTGCAATTTATTGCACATTCATCACACCTCTGTAGAGCTGTGAAAGAGAAAAAAAAAGAGAAAGAGAAAGAAAAAGAGAAAGAGAAAGAAGAGAAAGAGAGAGAGAAGATTGCCAATGGTATCCAATCCTGAGTCTGGGATTTTTGCTTAAAAGTAGTCTTGGTTTTTTTTTTTTTTTAATCCAGTGCCTAATACCTACGGGCACATGTCATAATGATGCTACTTGTTCCATCCCAGAAGGAATATCTTACTACACATTTTTTTAAGATTTTATTTATTTATTCATGAGCAACTCAGCGAGAGAGGCAGAGACACAGGCAGAGGGAGAAGCAGGCTCCATGCAGGGAGCCCGATGTGGGACTCGATCCCAGGTCCCCAGGATCACGCCAAACCGACCAAAGGCAGGCGCCAAACCGCTGAGGCACCCAAGCTGCCCACTACATATCTTTTAAATAAAAATACTTTCATCATACTTGTCATACATATTCGTAATGTAGCCACCTGAGGAGATGATATGTTAAATAACTTGACCGTAGTAATCATTTCTCTATTTTAAAAAATAAGAATACATAGGTGCAGCGGTTTGGTGCTGCCTGCAGCCTGGGGTGTGATCCTGGAGACCCGGGATCGAGTCCCACATCGGGCTCCCTGCATGGGGCCTGCTTCTCCCTCTGTCTGTGTCTCTGCTTCTCTCTCTCTATGTCTCTATGAATAAATAAACAAAATCTTTTTAAAAAAATAAAAATAAATAAAATATCATAGCAAAGCCAAGTATTAAATTTTTTTTAAATAGGAAAAAAACATATAAACAAAACTAAGTTTAGACTAGCCAAATCTGCTGTCTTCCAATCTTATAACCACATAGGTGCATGTCTGAGGAAGATGCATATTTGCTGTGTATGTGACATTGTAACATACGGTTTTCACTCATTACATCACTAACATCTTTCCATGCAAATTATATATATCCTCGTTACCTACATTATTGTCTTCAATGGTTTATCAAATTGCATTGTATATAATTTATTTACATTGTATTTATTCCCTATTCTGGGAAATGTGGGGTTTTGCCAAACCCTGTGAAAAAAGACCATTGAAGATCTGTCGTGCATATTTGTTTGGTATTTTCTTAGGATAAATTCATAGAATAAGAATTGTTAGGTCAAGGAGAAAAGACACATTTTATATAGACTCTGATACACATCACCATATTCGCTTCCAGAAATACCGTTTGCTGTGTTTTATTCTGCCCGAAGATATCTAAGGATTTATGTATGACTAACTAACCATTTTGTTTTACCAATTTGCAAGATAAGACAGTTTATGCTCTATAAAAATAATAACTTTTTAAATATAAAACAAAATCTAGTGCCTAACCTTCTTAGGAAACTGGAATTGAGACTCATTCATTAATTTATTCATTCATTCATTTTATTCATGCATTCATTTCATTCAAAATTAAGCTATTCTTCAGATTACAATAGCTCTCAGCATTCCTGACTTGGCCAGGTCCCAACTGATGGGGGAGACCAGTGCCTTCATTTCACTGGGTTTCATTCCCCTCATCTGTGAACGGGGAGACACAGGAGGAACCCGACTGTACCCGTCACCTAGTTTCAACAATTTCAAACCCAGAGCCAGCCTCTGGCCATCTGCTAATATTTAAGTTAAATATTTTCATTAGTTTGTTTCTTGATGGCAATTCCCCTGTGACTTCATTTTCATGGAAGCATGGTTCCCCATTATAGAGACAAGCCATCAATTATTGAATCAATTCCTCCTGTTGAACATTTAGGTCATTTCCTATTTTTCACACTATCATCTATGCTGTTGTGAACTTCCTTGTAGCTAAATCTATCCTCCCGCCCATGATTATTTTCTGAGAATAAATTTCTAGAAACATAGTTGTTGCCAGAAAGATGGTTGCTAGAGGGGGCGCCAGAGTGGCTCAGTCAGTTGGGCCTACAATTCTTGATTTCAGCTCAGGTCATGATCTCAGGCTTGTGAGATCAAGCCCCACATCAAGTTCCACGCTGAGCTTGGGACCTGCTTAAGGTTATCTCCCTCTCCCTCTGCCCCTCCACCTGCTCATGCTCTCTCTCTAGATAAATAAATAAATAAAATCTTTTTTTAAAAAAACAAAGATGGTTACTAAAGAATGTTAGTTAAGAACTTGTATTCCAGGAGTTAAGGTTTTACTTAATTTCTGAATTTCAGTTTCCTCGTTTGGATAAGGGTCCCTTTCTGGGTTATAAGACAATGTACAGTGCCTGGCACATCCTAGACATTCAGTAAACGTAACTTGTTTATGTTGCTATACATGTTTTTAAAGCTTATATTAAAGGTAGACTTGCCTGTTGCCTTTCTCACCAGCTATCGAAACTCGAGTTGTTACAGACAATTGCTCTGAAGAACAGATCTTCAGCTTGAACACCCACATGAACTCAGTGGATATCCACTGTGATGACATCGTACAGGAAAACATGCAAGGTACACATGGTGGCTCTATTCAGAACCTCTAAGACACATAGATCAGTATCATACATTGATACTGATAATGAGAGTCCCCAACAAGCTCCTTCCTAATGAGTTTGTTATCCTAAGACTGTGTCAACTGAGTCTTTTCCTTAGGGAAAAAAAACTCCCCAAAGTGGAGGCTTTCTAGTCTTCAGCATGGAAGATACTTCTTTCCAATTTGGGGGCTGTTCTGTCCAGGTCTCGTTGGGGTTCATGGAAATGCAGTCCCTGAGAGAAGTGTAAGTTTATTTGGGAGGTAATTCCAGGAAGCATCTGTAGGTGTATCTGTCAGACTTCTCCAGAGAAACAGAAATCAATCTGGTGTGGGGGGTGGAGGATGGAGAGAAAGAGAAACAGAGATGGAGACTTTAATAAACTAGCTCCTGCAAAAAAAAAAAAAAAAAAAGAAAGAAAGAAAGAAATTAGCTCCTGCAGGGACACTCAGATGGTTAAGCATCTGCCTTCAGCTCAGGTCATGATCTCTGGGTCCTGGAATCGAGCCCCACATCAGGCTCCAAACTCAGTGGGGAGTCTGCTTCTCCCTCTCCCTCTGTCTCTCCCCCTGCTTGTGCTGTCTATCTGTCTCTCTCTCTCTCTCTCTCTCTCTCTCTCAAATGGATAAATTAAAGATCTTAAAAAAAAAGGAAAGAAAGAAATTAGCTCCTGTGTTTGTGGAAGGTAGTAAGTCTAAAATCTAGCCAGTAGGCTGGAGACCCAAGGAAGAGTTGATGTTGTAGCTGCAGATCAAAGACAGGCTAGAGGCAGAATTCGCTTTTATTTGGGAGAACTCAGCCTTTTTCATGAGGCCTTCAAGTGATTGGAGGAGGCCAACCCACGTGGAGAGTGGGTGTAATGGAGAGTAATCTGTTTTACTCAAAGCCATTGATTTAAATGTTCTTCTTATCTAAAAAATTCCTTTACAGCAACACCCAGACTCATGTTTGACCCAATATCTGAATAGCATGACCTAACCACATTGACACATAAAAGCAACCATTCCAGTAGAGAAGAGAGGAAATGAAACAGAAAAGAGAGGAGAGCCAATACAGATATTATTATGGTAGTGAGCAGGTCACTGCTGGTGGTAACTGTGATTCAGTCTGCTGAGGTCTCCCATTCAAGGAGAGAGAGCTTCTCTGACCCATCAGTGGTTGAGGGCCCTTCTACAGGGGTTAATTCCCAGGCCCTGCCACTCTGCCTTGTGTACAAATCCAACACATTTACTGCTCCCAGGAATGCTCCTAGGCAGAGAGTTGCAGTTGCTTGCAGTAGAATCCATCAGCATATAAGGAACACAAGAGTGCCAAAGGAATAAAGTCAGGGTGCATACAACATTTGCTACAGCCTGTGTTCAAAGGAATGGATTGTTACTATCAATTGTTCCACTGTTGCCAGACTTTCTGATTTTTCAAAAGAAACCAAAAATTTAGTTGTTTGCGTGAATACCTTCCGTTTTAAAATTTGGTCTTACGATAGCTGCCATATTGTTATAACTATTAAGGCATGATAAATGAGGTCTTAGAATCCAATCCTGTAAACGTGGGATACAGCAGATCTATACCATCAGTGAAAGTCCCTGAGTAAAGGCAACAGAATGTGGACAACTAAACACGTGCTGAACTGAGGAAGTGTCATGAAACAATTAGTTCCTATCACTTCCTCTCCTCCCCCAAGAAGATAAGAACTTGAACTTGCCTCATTTGAGAATGGGCCAGGTGGAGGATGGAAGCCAACCTCCAACCACACAAGTTCACACTTGCCTTCTTACCAAAAGTTTTTTCTGAAACTCACAACTTGTAGAGAGTGTGCAAGACTTCACATTGTGGGCCAAACAAAACACATCCACAGCCTGGCTTGCTCTTCAGTCACATTCTGGGGCTACTGGGGATTAGGATTTCACATATGAGTTCAGAGAGGACACGACTCAACCCATACGAACTGCCTATGCTGACTTGTTTTAAGAAAGTTACAGACATCATAATGTGATTACATGTGCCTGAAGAGGCACCTGGCACAGAAGTGCCCAGTGAAGGACTATTTACCCTCCCCCACCATGGGCCCTATAGTCTCACTTCCAATCATTTGCATTGGCTGTTCCTCTGCTAGGAATGCCAACCACCACGCCATTGGGTGAACTATTACTCTTCAACATGGTTCAGCCTTCACCTCCTCCCAGGACTGCTCACTCCTACCATAGCACCAGAGTCAGGCCTTCCCTCCTCTACACTCCCCCAGGCCCTTGAACCTACATTATCCTGGATCTAACGTGTTGCATTGTCTTGATTGCCATACCTTGTCTCCCCCACCATGCTGGAATCCCCATAAGGATGGCAATCATGAATTATGTCTCTCTAGAGTCACCATTATGGGTTCATTACCTACAGAACAGTGATGAAGATTCACTGAATTAAATTCACATTTAGGTGGAGGTCTCAACATTCCTAATGAAAGAAAGGAATCCATCGACCAAGGTGTGACAAACTCAAAGAGGGATGTTTCTCTATCATTCACATCCTATCTAGGGCAGGATCCTTCTTTGTCGTGTGGGCCATCCTGTGCTATGTAGGATGTTGAGCAGCATCCCTGGCCCTTATTCTCTAGACACCAGAAGTGCACACTCAATGTGACAACCAAAAATGCCTCCAGATATTGCCCAGTGTCCCCAGAGGGGGCAGAATGGAGCCCCCCACCCACCCACCTCCAGTTAAGAACTGTTCATGTAGAGCACCCTTATAATTGACCTTCAAACAGTAACAACTTTAAGACTGAAAGGAAGTGCTATCGAATTGTACCCAGACACCCACCAGAGGTGAACCAAGACTGTCCTAGGTAACCCAAGATATTAACCCATGACATAAAATCCATATAACCCATGACACCTCCTCCCTGTAAAACATCTCAGAGAACAAAACCCAGGTCATGGAGGTTGACTGTGGACACCTACAGCCACTCTTCTCTTTTTTGCTTGTGATTTTGCTCTTAGCCAGAATACTTCAGCCCAGAAATAAGCTATTTCTAAGTACGAGAGCAGATGGACATATCACCTGCCCATCTTTTCCAACCACTCACCACTGTTTCATTTTGACAAATGGAAACTGTCATTAACTTGGAGAAACAGAAATGAATTGCTTCTGATCCATCAGACCAGACAAGACAGAAGCCTGATTAGAGAAACCTACCGAGGAATTTATTCCAATAGGATGGGCTGCATAGGCTAGACAGTGATAAAACTGGGATTTTAATCTAGAAACCTATTAACCTATTTCCTGTCCCTACAATCCTAACTGCTTCACATATATGGCCTCTGTAGTGTGGACTTGTTGGCAGCTACAAAGAACAAAGAAAACTTATTGATGCGAGAATATGGTCATAACATCTTATAATCCAATAACCCATACTATAGCCCTATAACCCACATATTCAAACTAACTACAAATATACATATTTCTGGAGGCTAGAAGCTTGAGATCAAGGCATTGGTAGAGTTGGTTTCTTCCAAGGTCTCTCTCCTTGGCAGATGGCCATCTTCTCCCTGTGTCTTCACATGGGACAGGTACACATCGCTGGTCTCTCTTCATGTGTCCACATTTCTTCTTTACTCTTTTTTTTTTCAAGATTTTATTTATTTATTTAATTTATTTATTCATGAGAGACACAGAGAGAAAGAGTCAGAGACACAGGCAGAGGGAGAAACAGGCTCCAGACAGGGAGTCTGATGTGGGACTCGATCCCAGGTCTCCAGGATCATGCCCTGGGCTGAAGGCAGGTGGTTTAGCACTTGCTAAACCACTGAGCCAACCAGGCATCCCTCTTCTTTACTCTTCAATGCAGGTCAACTTTCACCTCCTTCATGAGGCCTCCCAGGACTGCCCACTTCCATCATAGCAACACAGTCAGGCCCTTTCTCCTCTGGCCCTATTAAAGGCCCTGTCTTCAAACACAGTCACATTCTCAAGTTCTGTGAGTTAGGACTTCAACTTGATTTGGGGGGGATACAATTTGGCATATAACAATATCCTACTGATATATATCATGTTAATGTTCTTCTAATATATGATAAAATTATAAATACATGATATAAATATATCCCATATGCATATATTTTAGTCTATTGAAGTATGTTGACCTGGGACAGCCTGGGTGGCTCAGTTAGTTGAGCGTCCAACTCTTGATTTCAGCCCAGATCAGGATCTCAGGATTGTGAGATAGAGCCTTGTTTTGGGCTCTGAGCTGGGTGTGGAGCCTGCTTAAGATTCTCTCTCCCCTTCCTTCTGCCCACTCCCCTAAATAAAAATAATGATAAAGTATGTTAAATTACAGCATTCCTTTGCTTGACATCTTTCAATGGCTTTCCACTTGCAAAAGTCCTCCTCAAGGCTATAAGGCCCTGCAGGATCTGCCCCCATCACATCCCGGCCCTCACCTCTTCTCACTCTGGCGTGTGCGCACACACACACACACACACACACACACACACATACCACCCTTCAGCCACACTAGCCTCCTCCCTGTTCCCTAAACCAGCTGGGCACATTCATGTCTCTGGAACTTTGTCCCTGTTATTTCAGATCTACCTAGAGTAGAGCACTCTTCTGTTGGATACCCACATGGCCCTCCCTCCCTTCGCTCTGCTATCTGAAATCTGTCTGAAATAGCATCCGACAAGTCCCTCTGTCCCCTAACCTCACTTAATTTTCTCCCTAGGACTGATTGTTCTCTGACATATACTTTTGCTGATTTATTTATATTTGTTTGTCTCTCTCCTGCATCAGAAAGTAAGATCTATAAGAGCAGAAATGGCTTCTTTGTCCCTCACTGTACACCCAGAATAGTGTCTGGACCAGAGCAGGCATTCCATAAAAAAAAAAAAAAAAAAAAAAAAGTTGAATAAATAAATAGATAGAAGTATTAGCATATTATGATTTCTATATACATTATTTATTTCTAGATCTAGTTTATGTATATAACATATGGGAGGAGGGATCCCTGGGTGGCGCAGTGGTTTGGCGCCTGCCTTTGGCCCAGGGCGTGATCCTGGAGACCTGGGATCGAATCCCACATCGGGCTCCTGGTGCATGGAGCCTGCTTCTCCCTCTGCCTATGTCTCTGCCTCTCTCTCTCTCTCTGTGACTATCATAAATAAATAAAAATTAAAAAAAAATAACATATGGGAGGAGATGATTACATTCATAATACATACAAAGAGATAGACATACATGTAACCTGTTAATGGATTTCCTTGAGTCCAGTCTCAACATTATGCTTCATCTGAAAGGAATGCAAAACCACTTCTAAAAGTCTTGAAAAATAAGTCTGCCTTTCCGGAAGTCTCTTCAGGAGGCAGCAGAGGAAGTGGAATGACATCATGGAAGACTTACCTAACTCCCTAAGCTTCCTCTTCACCACTGACCTTCCTCTCCTCCCCCCTGAAAATTCCATCTGCCTCTTCTTGGCCCTTCTCCCATTTGACTTTACAGCATTTTCTCCTAAGGCTACAGTCATGTTCTTTCTTATGCAAATCAGCTTAACCTCTCTTGGTTTGTCCAGTTCTCCTCTTACCCCAAGTTTTATCCCATTCAATATGAAAAAAGGGTTCAAGGCCACAAACACAATGTGTGTCTCAGAAATGAGAAAGGGAGAGACAGTGAGAATCTCTATTTAATTTGACCCTCACTGGCAGCCCCAGTGGCCCAACGGTTTAGTGCTGCCTGCAGCCCAGGGCGTGATCCTGGAGACCCTGGATCAAGTCCCATGTCAAGCTCTCTGCATGGTGCCTGCTTCTCTCTCTGCCTGTGTCTCTGCCTCTCTCTGTCTCAATGAATAGATAAATAAAGTCTTTAAAAAATAATAATAATAATAAATTGACCCTCACATAGGTGAATATGCACATCCATATATACCTGTGTGTATGTATAGGTGTGTGAGGATGGTAGGTGTGGGGAAGAATGGTGGCACTATTAAAGACCTCCATTTTTCTGTTTTCTCAGGTCCCAGTGCAATTGCCTTTATTTCTTATTCTTCTCTTGGAAACATCACAAACGAAACCTTTTTTGAAGAGGCAAATGAGAAAGAGCAGGTTTACCTGAACTCTCAGGTAGTGAGTGCTGCTATTAGATCCCCAAGGAATACATCGCTCTCCAAGTCTGTGATTCTGAGTTTTCAGCAGATGAAGGTGGGTCAGAGCTGCCACTTGAACGTGCTTAGTTTTCTTGGAGATAGACTGAACAAAGTGTATACGCTCCCCAGTCAGTGCCTCTGGACTGTGCTGTCCAGTGCCGTAGCCAGGAACCTCGTGTAGCAATTGAGCATTTGAAACGTGGTGTATCTGAATTGAGATTTTGAAGACTTAGTATTTCTGGATTTAGACTTGATATTTCCAGATTTTGAAGCCCTCATAAGAAAAAAAAAAGCAGGGATCCCTGGGTGGCGCAGCGGTTTGGCGCCTGCCTTTGGCCCAGGGCGTGATCCTGGAGACCCGGGATCGAATCCCACATCGGGCTCCCGGTGCCTGGAGCCTGCTTCTCCCTCTGCCTATGTCTCTGCCTCTCTCTCTCTCACTGTGTGCCTATCATAAATAAATAAAAAATCTAAAAAAAAAAAAAAGGAAAGTCTTCCCTTTTAAAAAAAAAAAAAAAAAAAGAAAGAAAGAAAGAAAAAAAAAAGCATGCAAAATATCTCATTAATAATTTTTAAGGGGCTCCTGGGTACACATCTCTTGATCTCAGGGTTGTGGGTTTGAGCCCCATGTCGGGTGTAGAGATTACTTAAAAAAAATAAAATCTTTTTTGGGTGCCCAGTTGGTTCAGTCAGTTAAGCGTCTGCCTTCAGCTCAGGTCATGATCACAGGGTCCTGGGATCAAGCCCCACATCAGGTTCTCTGTTCAGCAAGGAGTCTGCTTCTCTTTCTCTTTATGCCCCTACCCCCCTGCTCACTTGCTTGCTCTCTCTTTCTCTCTCTCTCTCGTGCTCTGTTTCTCTCTCTCTTTCTCTCAAATAAATAAAATCTTTGAGAAAATAAAATCTTCTTTAAAAATAATTATTATATCGATTGCATATATTGATATATAGACATACTGAAAGATACTGTTTTGAATATAGGGGGTTAAATAAAATATATTATTAAAATTAATTTGAACTGTTTATTTAGTTTTTTTAATGTGGCTAACAGAAAATTTCAAATTACACAAGTAATTCACATGGTATTTCTCTTGGGCAGCATAATTCTAGTGCATGGGATTATTTTAGTTGAAGTTACCTCCAAATTTATGCCTGTGAAATTTGAACTGAGACATTATATTCATTCCTACACAAAAGCCTGGAATTAATTATTAACACTACATAACTTGATTGGAAAAAAATTTTTCTTTAATCCATTCCCCTTTCCCCTTCTCTGCCCAAACTCTTAAAGGCAGGAGGGTCAGTAGCCAGACACAGACATAATAAAATTAATCTGTTCCCTCACATTTCAGCTCTTTCATGAAAGCAAGAGTTGAAAGAAATCCTGCCATTTGCAACAACATTGATGAATTTTGATGGCATTATGCTAAGTAAAATAAGACAGAGAAAGAGATACTGTATGGTCTTACTTATATGTAGAATCTTAAAAAGCCAAAATCACAGATACAGAAAATGTGTTTTTGGTTACCAAGGGTGAGGGATGGGAGAAATAAGTGCAGGATACCAAAGGTACAAACTTCCAGTCACAAGTAGAATAAGTTCTAGGGATATAATGTACAGCATGGTGGCTCTGGTTGACAATACTACATTGCATACTTGAAAATTGCTAAGAGAGTAGATTTTAAGTACTCGCCACAAAATAAGAACCGTAACTACATGAGGTGATGGGTATTAATTGTTTTGCAATATATGCATATGTCAAAAACTTGTGTTGTCTACCTTACACTTACATAGTTTATATGTCAGTTGTATCTCAATAAAGCTGGGAAAAATAAATAAAATTATTTTTTAAGTTTAAAGAAAATAAGAATGGGAGGAATGGGAAATGTAGGTTTTCTCTATTTGATGCATAAAACTGAAGTATGAAACTTTTCATATATGGCATGGGGGACTGGGAGTGGTGCAAGAAATCTGGAGATGGTCTTGTGGATTATCAGAGGAGATACAGCCCTCCAACAGGAGAGTCTGACTTCTCTCCTTGGCTCCATGAAGTGTTGCTCTGGAAACCCTTAGGACAAAAAGAAGAGGTTGAAGGATAATTCTATTCTCTCTCTTCCTCTCTCTCTCTCTCTCCATTTCTTTCCTAAGCTTCCCCTTTCCTTGCATGAGCAGTTTTTGTGTTGTGAGGGGTGAGGGACAGAATTGGTGTGAAGAAATCAGGGAAATTTGCTTTAGAGAGTGTTTAGGAAAAAACTCTGTATGAGTCACAGACCTTCTTTTATTTTTTTATTTTATTTTTGTCTGACTTCCACAGTGGGGGATAAAGCCCTGAAACCAATGACATCCTATAAAATTCTGGCTCCCAAAGAGCCATGATCTTGTTTTATGGTACCCTAACAGAGCTGGGACTATGGGAGCAGGTGTCCTGGCAGGCAGCCATCCTCTTCACTTAAAATAGAAATCATCTGAGTCACTTCTAAGCCGTGTGTCTCTTTGATGGCCACCCCAGTGTAGACTGACACTCTAAGGGTTTTCCCTCCTGAGGAAGAACATAATAAGCCCCTTCTACTTTCAGATGAAGACCAGTAGCAGAAAGGCCATCTGTGTGTACTGGAAAAGCACAGGGGAGCACAGCCAGTGGTCCAGAGATGGCTGTTTCCTGATACAAGCGAATGAAAGTCACACCATATGCAACTGCACCCACCTGTCCAGTTTTGCTGTCCTCATGGCCTTAACCAAACAGGTACAATGTATACATTTAATTCCTCCAGCTAATTAAGTATGAGCTCCTACTAGATATGTACTCTTTTAAAAATGGGGAAAAAACATAAGTGACCAGAGTGAGTGAGTGCTGATAGCATGCTGCTTTACATAGAAAGATAGCATTTGAGCTACAATCTGAATATTGAGTCAGTAGTGCTGCAACAGAGGTGAACCTTGAAAACAACACACTGAATGAAATAAGTCAGACACAGGAGCACCTAGGTAGCTCAGTGGTTGAGCGTCTGCCTTTGGCTCAGGTCATGATTCCAGGGTCCTAGGATCAAGTCCCACATTGGGCTCCCTGCAAGAAGACTGCTTCTCCCTCTGCCTATGTCTCTGCCTCTCTCTGTGCATCTCTTATGAATAAATAAATTAAAAATCTTTTTTAAAAAAAGGAGAAGAAGAAGTCAGACACAAAGGGCTACCCGTTGTATGATTCCACTTATATGAAATGTCAAAATAAGCAAACCCAGAGAGTCAGAAAGTAGATTACTGCTTGCCAGGGGCTGGAGGTAGAAGAAATGGGGTAAATGCTTAATGGACATGGGATTGTAATTTGGAGTGATGAAGATGTTTTGGTGTTAGACACAAGTGGTAGTTGCACAGTACTGTGAATGTACCAAATGCCACTGAATTGTATACTTTAAAAAGGTTAATTTTATATTGTTTGGATTTTACCTCAATGGGGGGTGGGGGAAGCCATTAGGTAAGTCCTTTGAGGTAAGTCCTCAAAGAAAAACATCCCAAGAAGAGGTATGTATGTGTGTAAAGGCCCTGAAAAGACAAAAAATTTAGTGTGTTCCAGGAAGAAGTGTGGCCAGAGCAAAGTGTATGATGGACAAGTGGAAGGAGATGCAGTTGGAAAGATGGGAGCATGGAAAATGTGTCAGATCTGCAATGCCATGGTCAGGAATTTTGATCTCATTCGAATTGCAGTGGGAAGGCAATGGAGAGTCTGTATCAGAGATGCTGCATATTTATGTCACTAGAACTTTCCTCTGGCTCCCAGGTTGGCCATAGTTCATGACACAGCAAAAGTGGACTTGCAGAGAGATAGATGATGGTGGCCAGAATTTGGGTGTCAGGAGTAAAGGTGGTGGAAGAAGGTTAGACTGGACACATATCCTTGAGGTGGAGTCAGAGGACTCACTAATAACACAGGCTGGGTGACAGTTCACAGGAAGTCCTGAATCCCACACCTCCTCACAAAGATAGAGGGAATACCCCCCAAAACAACACCGGTGGAAATCTCTGACCGCTCCTATTATGGAGGGCAGTATAGGCAAGTTAAAATGGGTTTGAAAATAGAAAACACTTCATTCATTCATCATTACATTTATGAGTTGGGCATATCTTTTGTCCATTTATTTTCATTGCCATATAATATTCTCTTGCATGGCTGTACTATAATTTACTTATCTATTCTACAGTTAATGTGTATTTAAGTTGTTTCCCACTGGGAGCTATTGAAAGCAATGCTACATGTGGGTGGAAGATGGGTTAGATGGTTGATGGTTATTAAGGAAGGTACTTGCTATGATGAGCACTGGGTGTTTTTATTAGATAAATTTTTTATTATTTTTATATGTATATTTTTTATTGGAGTTTGATTTGCTAACACATAGTACAACACCCAGGGCTCATCCCATCAAGTGCCCTCCTCAGTGCCCATCACCCAGTCACCCTATCCTCCCACCCACCACCCCACCCCACTACCCCTTGTTCATTTCCCAGAGTTAGGAGTCTCATGTTTTGTCACCCTCTCTAATTTTTCCCACTCATTTTCTCTCCTTTCCCCTATGATCCCTTTCACTATTTTTTATATTCCCCATATGAATGAACCCATATGATTGTCCTTCTCCAATTGACTTACTTCACTCAGCATAATATCCTCCAGTTCCATCCACACTGAAGCAAACGGTGAGTATTTATCCTTTCTAATGGCTGAGTAATATTCCATTGTATATGTAGACCACATCTTCTTTATCCATTCATCTTTCAATGGACACCAAGGCTCCTTCCACAGTTTGGCTATTGTGGACATGGCTGCTATAAACATTGGGGTGCAGGTGTCTCAGCTTTTCACTGCATCTGTATCTTTGGGGTAAATCCCCAGTAGGAGCACTGGGTGTTATATGTAAGTAATGAATCACTTAATTCTACCCCAGAAATTAATATTGCACTGAATGTCAACTAACTAGAATTTGAAAAGAAAAAAAAAAGCAGTGTTGCTTTTCTGGGATGAAGTATAGAAAATCCCATGAGACACACCTGCACCCCAATGTTTCTAGCAGCGATGTCCACAATAGCCAAACTGTGGAAGGAGCCTCAGTGTCCATCGAAAGATGAATGGATAAAGAAGATGTGGTCTATGTATACAATGAATATTACTCAGCCATTAGAAACAGCAAATACCCACCATTTGCTTCGACCTGGAGGGACCTGGAGGGTATTATGCTGAGTGAAAAAAGTCAATTGGAGAAGGACAAACATTATATGGTCTCATTCATTTGGGAAATATAAAAAAATAGTGAAAGGGAATAAAGGGAAAAGGAGGAAAAAATGACTGGGAAATATCAGAAAGGGAGACAGAACATGAGAGACTCCTAACTCTGGGAAACTAACTAAGGGTGGTGGAAGGGGAGGTGGGCGGGGGGTGGGGGTGACTGGGTGACGGGCACTGAGGGGGCAATTGATGGGATGAGCACTGGGTGTTATGCCATATGTTTGCAAATTGAACCGCAATAAAAAAAAATTAAAAGAAAAGAAAAATTGAAACAATAAAAAGAAAAGAAAAGAAAAAAAGAAAAGAAAAGAAAAGAAAATCCCATGTGGGATCCTCCAGGATAACAAAGAAGCAACATACTCCACAGAGTGTAGCTACCAGATGGTGAAGCTTCTGTTATCATGGGTTTCTGAGTGACTGTGTGGAACAGAGTATATTTCCACCTGTACAAAGTTTAAAAACAGACACAACTAAACCATATTCTCAGGGGTTGCATACTTAAGTGGTAAAACTATAAAGATAAGCAGGAATTGCTTATCATAAAAGGATCATGGTTACCTCTGGAGGAGAAGGTGTTTTGCAATTAGAAAGAGCTTCTGGGATAATCTCTACAGACTAATGATCTCACCAACCATTTAATAATTTTTAAACATGTGATACATGTATGTGTATGCTCTTTTCTGTATGTGTGTTCTATTTCATAATTTTTTAAGGTTAAAAAGGCAAAGGAATGAGGTACCTGGGTGGCTCAATTGGTTAAGCATCTGCCTTTGGCTCGGGTCATAATCCCGGGGTCCTGGGATCGAGCCCTACATGAGGCTTCCTGCTCAATGAGGAGCCTGCTTCTCTCTCTGTCTGTTGCTCCCCCTGCTTGCTCTCTCTCTCTCTCTCTCTCTCATATGCTTTCTCTCTCTCAAGTAAATAAAATATTTTTTAAAAAAGTAAATGATTAAAAAGTTCTATAAAGTGACATTGAAACAAGTGAAAATCCCCATATCATTGTAAGAGATGGCAACTGTCATTTCCTACTGATGGGTCTTACTAAGTCTGTGTGGCTCATCAGATTCCTGGCTCCTGTCTTTAAGGAGATGAGCCATCAAGAGCTGAATTATACAGATGTCTTAGTTTGAGATCTCCTGCAAGCAGATTCTGAGACAAAAATTTGAGGGCAAGTAGTTTCTCTGGGAGATAACTCCAAGACACATGAGTAGAACAATAGGGAAATAAGATAGAAAAAAAGAAGGCATCCAGTAAAGGATGTGTTAAAGAGAAAGTTACTCCATGGACAACTGAGATTCAATCCCATTGAGTACTTCTGGGAGATATCCTAGAACATGCATTTCAGACCCTTCCCACATAAAGATGAGGGAGTTGGGGTATTTATCCATCAGTGCTGTAACTTTTATTGCTTGAGGGCAGCTTTCAAGGAGCATTGACATCCTGGTATTGACTCCTTCTGGTATGTCCAAACAGGAGAAATACTCTCAGGTAGGGTCCCTGGATTTCATAGAAAGCAGCCAAAGGACAGGTACCAATGAGTGTGAAGAGGTTAATAGCCTCTGCTACACAGGATTTCCTACATTTCTTGGTGGCAAGACTTAGCCTAGCATATTCATTCATTTCAATGTGAATCTGACATACAACATAAGCCTATAGTTAATACAGTATAGTGCACTTAAAAACTTAAGAGAATACATCTCATAAAAGAAAGCAAGAGGACACAAGATCTTAGAAGTGATGGATATGTTTATTACTTTGATTGTGATGATGGCATCATATATATGTGCCTATGTCTAAAAGCATCAAAATGGGGATGCCTGGGTGGCTCAGCAGTTGAGCGTCTGCCTTCAGCCCAGGGTATGATCCTGGAGTACCGGAATCGAGTCCTGCATCGGGCTCCCTGCATGGAGCCTGCTTCTCCCTCTGCCTGTGTCTCTGCCTCTATCTCTCTGTGTCTCTCATGAATAAATAAATAAAATCTTTTTAAAAACTAAATAAATAAAATAAAAACATCAAAATGTGTGTATTCAATATGTGCAATATTTTGCATATTAGTTATCCCTCAATACAGCTGGGAAAAAAGTACTTAGTCTGACCGACACTTATACTCTCTATCATGCGGAGTCATGCCTGTGTTTGGGAAGCTCCCATTCCAAGGGGGGGGGGAGGATTAATCTTGGAAACTGACCATGATGTCCTTTTTGCTGGGTCCCAGGAGAAGGATCCTGTGCTGGATGTGATCACCTATGTGGGGCTGGGCACCTCTCTGCTGTGTCTCCTCCTGGCAGCCCTCACCTTCCTGCTGTGCAAAGCAATCCAGAACACCAGCACCTCCCTCCACCTGCAGCTCTCAATCTGCCTCTTCCTGGCCCACCTGCTCTTCCTCACGGCCATTGACAAGACCAAGATCAAGGTATTGACACGGTCTCAAAGGAGCCCCAGCCCTGCCACAGAGGCTGCTCAGTTCATGGAACTGTGCTGCATTGATATCTTAATAAAATAATCTTGGGTCCCAGGGTTATTTTGAAGAGTAGCCTATTCCACATTGACTAACGAACTAGAAGACAAATCCTCCCCTGACAACTCAACCATATACATGAGCTCTCTCCAATGGCAAGGTATGGAACAGGTCCTGGGGCCACCCTCCTCTCTGACAATCCCTCCTGGTGGCACCTTTCTCCTCCCCCAGGTGCTGTGTGCCATCATCGCAGGTGCCTTACACTATCTCTACCTGGCCTCCTTCACCTGGATGCTGCTGGAGGGTCTGCACCTCTTCCTCACTGCACGCAACCTGACAGTAGTCAACTACTCCAGTGTGAACAAGTTCATGAAGAAGCTCATGTTCCCTGTGGCCTATGGAGTCCCGGCTATAATTGTGGCCATTTCTGCTGCATCCGGGCCTCACCTTTATGGAACATCTGATCAGTGAGCTCAACTCTCACCCTGTGCTGTGGATAGTTTTAAGGGCAGTGTTAACGATAATGATTGGAATATCCGTGTCAAACTCACTCTCCTTTTCCCTTGGCTGTAATAGCTCTAACCTCTTTCCTGGTGAGGCAGAGAAAGGTGATGGTAAGAGTATGGAAGGTTCTGGAAAGAGGGCATTTTGTGATTAGGTCCCAGCTTCTTCCTTCCCATAATATGGGACCTCAAGTCCTCAAGTCTTGGCCACCCCATTAGTGAAATGGGAATAACAGTTGTCCCCATGGCCCCACCCTCACCATGGTGTGACTAATGTTTAGCGTAAAATGTTTACCGTAGCATTAACACATGATAGTAAAGAATCGAAGCCTTTGTTGTCACCGGCTGACCTTTTCAGATGTTGAAAAGTGTTAGGAAAAGGTGTTTATTTCATGTTCTTCTCTGATCTCTCTTTTGGCCCCTTTTCCCATTGTTCCCAGATGCTGGCTCAACCTGGACAAGAGATTCATCTGGAGTTTCCTGGGCCCTGTCTGTGCCATTATCTGTGTGAGTGAGTATGTGGCTCCAGTATTACCAACCAAAGAAGCACCAGGCACACATTTTTGTCAGTTCTATGAATTGACTTCCCCACCTACTACCCATTCAATCCTACATGCAGGGAGGTACGAATTGTGTGCAGTTTATAGTTTAACTTGCATTCTGCATGATCCATGTCATTCCTGCAGGTGAATTTAGTTATTTTTCTCCTGATCCTTTGGATTTTAAAAAAGAAACTTTCCTCTCTCAATAGTGAAGTGTCAACCATCCAGAATATAAGGTAAGGTGGGGTAAATGGTATTTTCTGACCGCACTCCCCTTTTTCTGTACTTAGTCTCACTGGTTCCTCTTGTATATCCACACACACATACACCCCACAACCAAGCTCCAGGACCTAGCAAAGCCAACTGCCATCCCCCAGTGTCACCGTTAATGAGAGGCATTATTATACAGTATTAGCTGTACTACAGACTAAGCTTCAGTGACAAAAGAGCCCCAAAAAGGAGTGAAATAGAAGTTTATTTCATTTGCCTGTCACAGTCTAGAGGTGAATAAACCAGGACCGATGGGGAAGCTCTGCTCCACAAAGTAATCCAGGGACTCGAGTCCTTTCTATTTTATTGCTCCACATTTCCCAGGATGTTTCTTTGCCAGTATCGCATCCATGGAAAGAAGTTGAGCTGCATGTTCCCCATTTGCCCGGATCTCAAGGGCTAGACCTTGATCACACAGTGACATCTACCTTCTACTATCGGGAAATCTAGTCTCTAACTGGGTAGCCATGTGTCCTTGATAAAATTCAAAAAAGGAAGGATCCAACACTAAAATGAAGAAGAGGAGAACGGGAGGGGAAAAAGCCAAAAATTTCTGCTACATAACATATGTAATAGCTGTGGGTAAGATTTGGATTTTTTTTTAAGTTTTACTTTTTTTAAAGATTTTATTTATTTATTCATGAAAGACACACACACAGAGAGAGAGAGAGAGAGAGAGAGAGAGGCAGAGACACAGGCAGAGGGAGAAGCAGGCTCCATGCAGGGAGCCCGACGTGGGACTCGACCTGGGTCTCCAGAATCACACCCTGGGCTGAAGGCAGCGCTAAACCGCTGAGCCACCTGGGCTGCCCTAGGATTTGGATTAAAATACATTTTGTATGATACTATTTTGAAACATTTTGAACGATGAGCAGCATCCATTTTATGTGAACATGTAATTTGTTGTTGATTTCACTGTAATCACAAAAATAGTGCATTTGTTAAATATTTTTTCAAAGTTTTTAAAATATATCAAGTAAAATCTGAAAGCAGCTAGCTCCTTCTTTGCTACTTCCACGTCTCAGGAAAGCCAGAGGTAACTGTATGATATGTATAAAATTTTCCCCAGGCCTTTTTCTGGGCTGTGAATTTTCTCTAGAACAGATGGGCATGCACACAATAGCGCCACACTATGCAAATTGTTCCCCAACTAGTTTTTCTCATTTATGTATTACTATGTTTTCTAATTAGGGATACATAGATACATAAGTAAGGTGACCTTACATCCTAGTTTGCCTGGGATAGTCCATTTATGCTCATTGTAATTATAAATTAGCACTTCTGTCTCAAAAGTCTCCCTGTCTGAATAATAAATTATATGACACTTCATCTATAAGTGATATAATGAGAGAGATAAAGAGCACCTGGTTTTAGAATGCTTTATGTATGTACTAATTTTGTTCTACATACTGTCCAAAACACTTTACATATGTCAAAATCCCATTTAATCTTGGCAGCAAACCTGTGAAATAGGGCTATTATAAAGATTAGGAAACTGAGTTACAGAAAGGCAAACTGATTTGCCCAAAGTCACCAGCTGGTTAGTTCTGCCTTGGATTTAAACCCAGCCAGTCTAGCTCCAGAGTCCCTGCCATTAACAACTACATGATAGGGTGTCCATGTCCACTATTAGCCTTTTCACGTCATTGTGAATGACCCCTCAGGATGCTGACATTCAAGGCAACAGCTCAGCTCTTCATCTTGGGCTGCACGTGGTGCCTAGGCATCCTGCAGGTGGGTCCAGCTGCCCATGTCATGGCTTACGTCTTCACCATCATCAACAGCCTGCAGGGCGTCTTCATTTTCCTGGTCTACTGCCTCCTCAGCCAGCAGGTAAACAATAACCCCTTTTGTTATTGTCATAAAGTCAAGAAATATTTGGAGGTAGGTACTTTAAGGAACATTTAAACCTATGTTCTCTAAATTTTCATATGAGATGTGAGCCATGTGTAAACACTATCCATGTTTTCTCTTCTTTAAGATGTTATCGATTGTAAGATGCATCAACTTATTAACAGCTTTCAGAAAGCAAACAATTGCTACATCAAGGAAATATTTTTTCTTCAGCTTTCCCATTTGTAATAGTCATCTATTGCTGAGTAACAAACAACCTCAAAAATCTCAGTACCCTAAACACAAATATTTGCTTTTCTCATTTTCAAGTCTGAAGGTTGATTGAGGTTAGCTGATCTTCTCTGGGTTCAGCTCAGCTTGGTTCCAGGATCCAGATCATCAGATCATGTTCAGGTCTGCTCCTTGTGACTCATTCTCAGGCTTGGCATAAATGGGACAGAAACCTAGGATATGTTCTCTCGTGATAGTGGCAAAATCACAAAAAGATAAGCCCTACTGGGCGAGGCCATTTCAAGCCTTGTGGTCCTCCTTGCATCCCTTCCACTGATATTCCATTGGCCAAGGAAAGTCATATGTCCAAGCCTGAAGTCAAGGGAGGATAACCCTCCACCCACCATGAAACTAATAGTAGAAGGGAAATGACAGCTTTGGGCTTCTTGCATACCATGACATACTTACTAACAGAGGAATGAATCATTGAAAGCTGTAATGCAATCTGCCACACCACTTAAACACACGAATTCTTAAACACAGTTCCATGTGATGTATAGTCTCCATACTAATATGTGTTAATAGCTCTATGACAGCATTACATAATAAGTTAATTTTTCCCGACATGTTACTATGGACATTTTCAAGCATACCAAAAAGGTTAAATGAATTATGCAATGAACACATATATGCCAATCACTTCAATTACTGTTGTGCTATATTTGTTTTGTCACATGGTCTATCCATATTTCCATTCTTCTACCCATTCTGCACTGCTAAGTCCCTGGTAACCACTATTCTAATTTCTGGCTCAACTAATTTGACTATCATAGGGATCTCATATATGTGGAATCAGACAGGATTTGTCCTTTTGTGCCTGGCTTCTTTCACTCTGCATAATGTCTTCAAGGTTCATCCATGTTGTAGCCTGTGTCAGAATTTCCTTCCTTTTTAAGGCTCAGTAAATAATATTACATTTTAAAGATATGCCACATGTTGTACAGAAAGTTTTTCAATAATGTCTTTATTCTCTTCCTGATTCACTGGCTTTTCTCTTCACCAATGTTAATAAAAACAATTCCAGTATTTTCTTTGATGTTTCAGGTCCGAAAGTGGTTTGGAGAGATCATAACACCTAAATCTGAGTCTGGGACTTACACACTTTCCACCAGATTTGGCACTGACTCAAAGCCTAGTCAAGTAAGAGGACTTGTGACTTATTCTAATGCTTGCCCCCGCAACACCCAAACCCCCTCTCCTCATCTTAGTATGAGCTCACTTGCCCAGAGAGAATGACAAAGAGCTCTTTTCCTGATGACCTGGCTTGCATTTCCCATTCTCACCATATTGTTCCTCAGTGACTCTTCCCTGATCATTGATAGTGCTAAAGCTATGTTCTATGTTCCTGGGATCAAGTCCCACATCATCAGGCTCATTGCAGGGAGCCTGTTTCTTCCTTTGCCTATGTCTCTGCCTCTCTCTGCATCTCATATGAATAAATAAATAAAATATTTTTTAAAAAAAGAAGGTATGCCCCCTAGTTAAGCAAGATGGGCTCCAAAATTCATAATCCATAAAAATTTTCCCAGTTTCCTTTGTTTACTCCCGTGTGTACACCACCACATCTGCTAGCCAAGGAGCCTTAGAATGTGTCATTTTTAAAATAAACAAAATTGAGAAATTTCTGACACATTGTCTTCTATTTTTCTTGAGCTAATATATGATATTCTCAGCATTGGAAATACTGAATCACTAAAAAAAAAAAATCTATCCCTATTTTGGAGGACGGAAAGGAGAATTCACTAAATCTTTCAAAAGAGGCCAAAAGGAAAACAGGACTAGGGAAAAAGGCTTAGGACATTGCAAGTGATCAGAAAAAAGATGTATAAATATTAGGTTAATCATTTCCAATAAGAGTAAACTCATAAAAGGTGCTGGCTACTGACTGTGACCTTTGAAAGACTTCCTAGATAATCCAAAATAATTCCCAAAGTTTCTGGCATTCCAGTAACTTGTTTCCCATGATGTATATAAGGAAACTTTTTACTAGTAGTACTTAATATTGTGGAAGTTGAATAAGATGATCGTATCCTTTTTTTTTAAGATTTTATTTACTCACTCATGAGAGACAAAGAGAGGCAGAGACACAGGCAGAGAGAGAGGTAGGCTCCCTGTGGAGATCCCGATGTGGGACTTGATCCCAGGACCCCAGGATCACAACCTGAGCCAAAGGCAGACGCTCAACCACTGAGCCACCCACACGTCCCATAATTGTATCTTTGAAAGGGGAATATATATAAATATATTAGCTCCCTGTAAGAAATACATTGACTTTAATTAAAAGAATGTTGGGTTTGTATTTTTCTAGGCACAGGATATGATTTAAAAGCTAAAAGAAAGAAAAGAGAAAAAAAGAAAACACCAAAATTCTTTCACTCTCCATGGACAAATTTGCCCTTGGGTTAAATTTCTAGCTCTGTTCCCTAGAAACTTGCTAGCATTGAAAGGCCAGTTGTGTAACCAGGCAATATTGTTTGTATAAAAAATCATGTTTGACTGGGCAGGGAGTTGTGTGAATGAACCATCAATAGTAGAAAGGAAATGACAGCTTTGGGCTTCTTGCATACCATGACTCATAACGAGGCCAGGAATCTCTGTCCTCTTGGGCTCCCATAGGAGGTATTGGTTTTCTTGTAGGGCTTGGGAATTTAAACCAAACGCTAACTTGTATGTGGTAAAAATGATATTTGTTGAGTTCTACAATGTGTCAAGATACTGTGGTGAGCAATGGACATACAAAAGGAACAAGACCAGCACAGTCTGCCTCCATGGGCCTTAGAGTTTAGCTTTTCTTCATAGATACAAACCAACTTAAATTCTGGAGCAGGATACTGTGTCTGAATTTTTTTTTTAATTCTTCATCTAGGAATTTTGAGAAGTCTTCTCATATAAGCTGAAGAACGCCACACCTTACCTAGGATTCCAAATGCTAGGAGATCATGTCATACTTGCCCGCTGAATGGAGCTCCTGTCACCAGGGACTTACTAACAAGCTCTGAACTAACCACAATAACCCAGTTTTCGACCTGTTTGATCAGACACCATTGTTAACTCTCCAGATGACCTCAAGATTGTTACCCTCTAACTGCAATAATAAAAAACACACCTACCAGCAACATGACAGATCCCACTGTGCCCATTTTAAGAAGGAAAAGAGGTGACATTCTGATTCCTAGAAGCCTTCTCTTCTTCTCTTGAAACACCTTGACCCCAGGTCAGCTTGCTTACCAGTCCCGTAACTACCTTAACCCCATAAAACCCTGACAATGAGACCTAATCGGAGAGAAGGTGCCTTTCAAACATAAGCTCCCCTTCTCTGTTTTCTGGCCGTTGAATAAATTACCTGTTTGCCATCAAATACTGTTTTGTTATTTGACTACTTGGCAAATGGTATTGAGTAGGCAAAGAACCTACCACTTCAGCAACACTCTCTGCCTTTAATCTACTTCTGCTTTTTATCTCTGTTTTGTTGGTGATGGTAGTTTATTTTGTTACATCTTTACATCCTTACATCTACCTTCAATCTAAACATCTTTTGTGGGGGGGATGTTTTTCCAGAGCAGGTGAAGAGAAAATATTCAAACTAGAATATTCGACTCCACTTGGAAAGTCATGCCCATGAATCTGGTTGGTTTGGTGAAGAACAAAGCTGAGGATGAGGGAAATTATTACAGCTGGATAGAAAAGATTTAGGCTTTATTTCCTGAAATGTTTGTTCTGCATATTTGGCTCTCAATAAATGTATGTTGCATTGGATTTCCCTTCACTATGATGTATTCCCTGGATGCCCAAATCATGGCCATTGCAAATACTCTTTTGATGTTTTGTTAAGAAGGAAGCCCCTTGAAAGGAGAAAAAAAATGAGTGGGAAATATCAGAAAGGGAGACAGAACATAAAGACTCCTAACTCTGGGAAATGAACTAGGGGTGGTGGAAGGGGAGGAGGGCGGGGGTGGGGGTAAATGGGTGACGGGCATTGAAGGGGACACTTGACGGGATGAGCACTGGGTGTTATTCTGTATGTTGGTAAATTGAACACCAATAAAAATTAATTTATTAAAAAAAAAGAAAGAAAGAAAGGGAGACAGAACATGAAAGACTCCTAACTCTGGGAAACGAACTAGGGATGATGGAAGGGGGGGTGGGGGTGATTGGGTGACGGGCACTGAGGTGGGCACTTGACAGGATGAGCACTGGGTGTTATTCTATATGTTGGCAAATTGAACACCAATAAAAAATAAATTTATAAAAAAAGAAAGAAAATAAAATAAAAAAAGAAGAAGAAAAAGGAAGCCCCTTTCAAGGCCTTTCCTCACATTCTTACACTCATTCATCCTGACCTTGCTCTTTAACTCATTCAGTCCTTCTGACCATCAACCTCTCCCAAGCCTTCAGTTTTACCTCCTTTCTTATCCAGGCTCAATCTCATGATCAACCATGTCAAATTATTTTCTCCTATACTTTCAACACCTTGCTCCCTTGTTCTTATTCTTTAACTACTTGGGAAAACTTCAATCCAGGACCAATCCAACAATGGCAGTACTGCAGATTGTCTGCTCAGCAGTCATCACCAAATCATATGCTCCTTATTTAAAAAAACCTTGGTTGTTTGCAGATTTGGGATGGTGATATGCTTGGACACGGGGGGCCAGTTAAAATTGGTCTAAGCAGTAATTCTCAACTAGAGGCAATCTCCCACCCCTACTAGGACATTTGACAATGTCTAGAAACATTTTTTGTTGTCATGACTGGAGAAAGATGGGAAATGCTACTGGCATCTATGTGGTAAAGGCCAGGGATGTTGCCAAACATCATAAAATGCATAAGACAGCCCCCACATAGACACAACAAAGGATATCAATCCCTAAATGTCAGTAGTGCTAAGATTGAGAAACCCTGGTCTAAATTAACCATAGTGATCATACTCTTATTTGCTAAAGGTTGTTTTAGGATGGGTACATTTGGACCAATTCTAGACAATGGGATATAATAAATACCTATTGGAAAATACTTTTTCTCCTTAATAAAAGAAGGAAAACTCAAGGGGAGCCTGGCCATGACTTCCTGGTTTGGACCACTATACAATAATATGATGCTTGGAGAGAAGGTAAATAGAATGGGAATGGGAGAGTGGAAAGATGGAAATAATTTGGGCTTTTATGACATTGTTGAGCTACTAAACCGAACTTCCAGCTTCCTTCTATGTGAGACAAATTGTTGAGCCACTTTGGGTCAGGTAATGTTACTTCCAGTTCAAAGCATATTTCCTTAGGAACAAACCACATCTCTTAACCACTTCTCCACCAGGCCAGTGAGATCCCAGAATCACTTATCTTGGAGTCATTATAAATATATGCTTTCTGATCTAAACAAGACTCTCCACGCTACCTGGAACTGGCTCTTCCTATCCCTAGTCAACTTCCCCTTGTGGAAGGTTACAGGTTTTCAGTTCCTTCCTCAATCCTCATAACCTTTCCCTCTATGTTTCCTCCTACTTCACAGAGATGATAAACACCAGCTGATGAAAACAACCTCAACTTCCTGATATTCTTTACAAATATATCCACATCCATACCCGCCCTTACTTCCTTCCCTCATTGATTCCCATAGTCCTCTCTTCCAATCTTCCACAATAGCAAAGGGGTCCCTCCTTGTGTTTAAAGCTAACCCTTTGCTCTGTGATTTGCTCATCCCCTCCTGCCTGTTTGGAGACCTTTCTCTACTGATATCTTCTCTCTCTGTCTTAAGTCTTCCACCTCCCTGACATCCTCTCTCCTGGTTCTTCCCCAATGGTATTTAAATATGATAATAAAAAAAAAGGCAGGAAATTTTTTCTGCAAAGGGCCAAATAACAAATATTTTAGACTTTTCAGAGTATGTGTATGTGGGTGTGGGTGTCCCTTAGAAATGTAACATTCATTTCTAGCTCATTGGCCATACAAAAACAGGCTGCCCTCAGGATTTGACACACACACAAACACACACCACCGCCATGCTATAGTTTGCTGGCTCTTATGCAAAAAAAAAGAGAAATGGTAGATTCCAGGAAAATGGCCACTTGTACTTTTCTCAATTCCTCTCAACCCCCTACACTAATATATCTACCTCTTTGAACCAAAAGTCTGCTGAGGCCAATGACAGCTGGGTAAGGATGAGGGTGGTATCTCTAGGGAAATCCCCAAAGGAAAATCTGGGGTTGAAATGTAGTCCCATGCAGCAGGTGGAGAGTCCCAAGACAAGCTGAAGAGCATTCAAGGATAAAGACCAAACACCATCCATCCCAGGAAGAGTCTGGCCCACAGGAGTCCATGGACCTTCCAGGATAGGCCAGCATCACTCCTGTGTGTGTGTGTGTGTGTGTGTGTGCGCGCGCGCGTGCGCACACGTGCGTGCAATCCCTCCAAGAACTCCAAGAGGAGCCCTGATCCTAAATCTAGAAGAGAGCAAGGAAACTGGGGAGCAATGAGGTGCCTCTGCACACCTGCCTAGTATGCATGTGTATTTCTTGGGGTGGAGAATCCATCTCCTCCCATCACTTGGGAAACTGCCCTTGCTTAGAGTTCTCAACCCCAGGGTCTGAGCCCCAAGAAGAAATGGCAACACCAAGAGGTCTCAGCAACTGAAAGAGGATGGTCCAATGTAATTGAAATTCATCAAAATAGAGTTGCTGGAGTTGACGGACAACTTAAAACAAGAATAATTCCAATAAGAATTGAACATAATCACAAAAGAATGCAAGGAGATTCCAGTGTAGCACCAAAATGCTCTCTGGAACTAAGTAAAAATGGAATAGAGGTGCCTGGGTGACTCGGTTAAGCAGCTGACTCTTGTTTCCAGCTCGGATCATGATCTCACGGTAATAGGATCGAACCCCACATCAGACTCTGCACTCAGATTCTCTCTCCCTCTCCCTCCAGCGCTCACTCTCTCTCTCTCTCTCTCTCTCTCTCTCTCTCTCTCTCTCTCAAATAAATAAATAAATAAAATATTAAAATAAGTAAATAAATAGGATGGAATAATTAAAAAGAGAATTTTTTCTGGATGAATTAAAGAGTGCGGTCACTATGAAGAGCCAAATTAGTGGCTTGGAAGACCACGTGGACGAAATCTCTCAAGGAACAGAGCAAAATGCCAAAAGATGAAAATTATGAAGGAAAAAAATTAGTCTGGGGGTCTCAAGAGATCTAAGAGTAATAGGGGGTTTGGGAAGAGTAGGGCGGAGGCATTTGGGTCCCTTCTACCCAAAAAAAAACCCTCCCTTCCACAATTACCTCTCTCTTTCTCCCTCTCTCCCCACCCCCTTCACAGTCAAAATTCTCGAAAAGTTGTTTACGCTCTGCTGTCCCTGCTTCCTCCCACTCTTTCACTGTTCAACCACCACAGTCTGATTTCTGCCTCTAACACACCCAGGATTGGCTTAATGTCCCAAATGCTTCCTCAAGGCTAAAAATAGATGCTTGTCAATCTTTTCTAACTTGACCTTTGGGTCACACTTGACTGCATTGGTCCTCTTTTACTCTTTTTTTTTATAATCACATATTTTTATTTTTTCCAGGTTTGTTGAGGTATAATTAATAGATAAAAATTGTACTACGTGATGATTTGATCTACATATACATTATCCCCTTTCCTTCTTGAGGCTTTCTCTTTTCTTGGTTTTCCTGGTGCCATGCTATCTTATAAGGGTGGTCAACTTATCCCAGTTAGCCCAGGATTTTCCAGCTTTAGCATTGAGTGTCCCACATCCTAGGAACCCCTCTATCCCTGGCAAACCAGAACCATATCACAAGGTCATCTTCTCCTGTCCCAGTGTGTCTCAATTTGTGCTCCCCCAAGGGCAAACTCTGAGAGAAGGATTCAAGTGTAAGCAGTTTATTTTGGAGGTGATCCCAGGAAAGACCAAAGAATGTGAAAAGTGATTCAGGGAAAGAAAGGCAGCCAGTACAAGATGTGTTCAAAGTGTGTTATTGAGCGACTACCACTTAGGCGATGGAAGCTTAATCCCATTGGGTACCTCTGGGTGACACAACTCAAACCCATCTAAGGGATAAGGGAGTTGGGGTATGTGTACACCAAGTCCAGGCTTTGGTTGAGAGCTATTCTAGAAAGCATTTCCCCACTGGCACTTCTCACCTGCCATGTACCAGACCAGGAAGACTCTGGGAGCAGCTGCCGGCCATTAGAAGTCACTGAAAATGTGAGGATCAAGAATATTAGTAGTGCATGACTACATCTGCTACACACAAGATTCCATTCTTGAACTTCAGCAAAATTTCATGAAACACCCAAATCTAAATGTGTTCAGGTGTGTCTGGCTGGCTCAGTTGGCAAAACATGCAACTCTTGATCTGAGTTTTGTGGATTTGAGCCTCACATTGGGTGTAGAGATCAATTAAAAATAAAAAATATAAATAAACAGATAAATGTATGTAAGGGGATGCCTGGGTGGCTCGGTAGATTAAGCACCCGACTCTTGATTTCAGCTTATGTCATGATCTCAGAGTCTTGGGATTGAGCCCTGCATCAGTCTCCATGCTCAGTGGGATGTCTGCTTGGGGATTCTCTCTCTCCCTCTCCCTCTCCTCTTCCTCCTGCTTGTACTCTCGCTTCTCTCAAATAAATGAATCTTTAAAAAAATGTTTTAAGATTTTATTTATTTATTTGAGAGAGAGAGAGAATGTACAAAGGAAAAAACAGACTCCCTGCTGAGAAGGGACCCTGACATGAGACTCGATCCCAGGACCCCGGGATCATCACCCAAGCCGAAGGCAGACACGTACCTGACTGAGCCGCCCCTAAAATTTTATAAAGAAATAAACATATGTGTTATAAGCATTTTTTTTCTTCCTTAACTCTACTTGCTTAAGTTGAAAACTTAGGGGTAATTCTTTACTCCTTTCTTTCTCTCATACCCTACATCCAAGCCATCAGCAAATGCCATTAGCTTTATCTTCAAAACAGATTCATTTTCTTCCTACCTGATCCCCTTCCTCTCCGGTCTACGTTATCATTATAGCCCCAGGAAGGCCACATAGATCATTATCAACAGATCCAGAACTCCATTTCTAGTCTCCTACTTCAGCCCAGGATATCTGTTCCACCACACCACACTGTTCCTTTCCCATAATTGCCAGCCAAGATAAGAGCTACAAGGTTGGGGTCCTCAGGGATAATTCAGGTTTACAGAAGTCCCTTGAAATGTGGCAGGTGCTGCAGAAAGAAATCAACATTTGTAGGCATAGACTGAGTCCAAATACCAGCTCTGCCACTTACCCATCTCATTCATTTGGGGAATATAAATAATAGTGAAAGGGAATAGAAGGGAAGGGAGAAGAAATGAGTAGGAAATATCAGAGAGGGAGACACAACATAAAGACTCCTAACTCTGGGAAACGAACTAGGGGTGGTGGAAGGGGAGGAGGGCAGGGGGTGCGGGTGAGTGGGTGACAGGCACTGAGGGGGGCACTTGACGGGATGAGCACTGGGTGTTATTCTGTATGTTGGCAAATTGAACACCAATAAAAAATAAATATATTATTTTTTAAAATGATAATGGGCAAGCCTCAGTCTCCCTAGCTATAAAATAGGGTTGTAATGACCTCACAGTGTCATTGAGAAGATTCAGTGAGAGCTACTGTTTATCTAGCACACAATATATGCTTGATAAACTGTGGGTTTTGTTATCTTTATCCACCAAGAATGTCCAACCTTTGCTCCCCTGAACCCAAGGTGGTAAAGGGGACCTTCATACTTATCTCTCTACCTAAAATTATACAATCATGAGAGATGTGGAAGGGAAATAGGTGATAGGTTTGAGCCAGGTGCCCTGTGGAACACCCCCAGCATGACTCAAAGATGTGAACACAGCCCCATTTCCTCATTTTTCAATACACTGGGGGAAGCTGAAGTTTCCTCTTCTGAGATGAAGGAACTTCCCCTGACCCAAATAAACAATCACTTGGACCAACAGCACCCTAGGTAGAGGGCTTAGAACAGGATGCCCACCCACTCTGCAATCTATGGGGTACATGGGGGGCTGTTTTCAGTATTGGTGAGTTGGGGCAGGTGTGGAGGTGGAAGGAGGCAAATAGACACGGAAACAAGAAGTGAAGTGAAAGCTAACCTCCCCCACTGCCCTTTTGCTCAGAGCCTCCTTGCCATAATCACCTGCTCTCACTCAATGCAAGGATTCTGCTACTCATCAAGGGTAGCTGTTGGTCAATAAATTGATCAGGTTGGAAAATGTCTACCTACCTTTGAATACAATTCAGAGATTGTCCAAAGGGATTGTTGTGTTACATTGTGTTCAACTGCAAAGTAGAACCAGCCCCATAGGGGGGTTTTCATTGTCATAATCACTGGAGGAGCACCAATTAGTGGGTATTAGAGGCTGAAATGCGTCTCCCCCAAAATTCACATGTTGAAGTCCTAACCCCCAGTACATCATAATGTAATGTATTTTGAGGTAGAGTCTTTAAAGAGGTAATGAATAAAAATGAAGTCATTACAATGGGCCCTAATGCAATATGACCTGTGTCTTCATAAAAAGAAGAGATTAGGGGATACCTGGGTGGCTCAGTGGTTGAGCGTCTGCCTTCAGCTCAGGGTGTGATCCGGGGTCCTGAGATCAAGTCCCACATCTGGCTCCCCATGGGGAGCCTGCTTAGCCCTCTACCTTAGCCCTTAGCCCTCTTAGAGACTACCTTAGTCTCTGCCTCTCTCTGTGTATCTCTCATGAATAAATAAATAAAATCTTTTTATAAAATAAAATACAAAGAAGAGAATAGGACGCAGATACACACAAAAGGAAGTCCATGTGAAGACACAGGGAGAAGAGGGTCATCTAGAAGTCAAGGAGAGACCCCTCACCAGAAACCAACTACTTTGACACTTTGATCTCTGACGTCAGCCTCCAGAACCATGAGATAATACATTTCTCTCACTTAAGCCAGTCTATGGTGCTTTATTATGGCATCCCCAGCAAACTAACACAGTGGGCAAGTTCATGCAGTCAACACAGTTCACACAGTGAACTGACATTTTGAGTACTAACATTGCAAGAGCTAATAGCCCAAGAAGGTCCACTCAGAAGTAAAATGAATTACTTCATCAAAGATCTTTACAAACCACAAACAGCCTAAAGGCACATGCCGGTAGATAGCTCCACTGCTGTCCTGAGAATCTGACCACACATTAAGTCTTGCTTTTCAGCTGGTCTGCTTTCTAGAAGTTTCACAAGTCTTGGCAGAGGCCTGATTCTGTCACCTTAGTTGGGCAAACCTCACCTGGGACATTGAGAAAATTGCCTGTCAAGAATAATTTTTCCCCACCTGCTTCCCAGAAGCTGCTCCACATCAGGCAGGCATTAAGGGAGCCCTGTCCCAGCACACCATGGTCCAGTGGAACCAGGGTATTTTCAGCTCCAGCTCAGTCATTGTCAGACCCAGAGCCCTCAGGGCCAGCACTGCTTCCTAAGAGCCACATTCAGGGACTTGGTGAGCTTCCTCAGACCCCAGAACTAGGAGACAACCTCTAAGACCCAGTACCCCTCCAGCTCACTACCTGCTACAGACTGCATTGTGTGCCCTCACTCAATTCATTTGTTAAATCCTAAGCCTCAGTGTGATGGCATAAGGAGGTATTGCCTTTTTTTGGGGGGGGGGTGGTGATTAGGTCATGAGGATAGAATTCTTGTGCCCTTATAACAAGGACCCCAGAGAGCTCTCACCCTTTCCAGGATGAGAGAACACCACATAAAGATGGCAATCTATGAGTCAGAAAAGTGGGCCCTCACTAAACACTGTGCCTTGATCTTGGACTTCCCAGTTTCTATGACCTCAATAAATAAATCTGTTGTTTATAAGCCATCCAGCTTACAGTATTCTGGTATAGCAGCCTGAACAGACTAAGACATCATCTGATTGAACAAGCCCTCAAGTCCTCGTAGAAATGCTCTCACTTGCACCCTGGGGGACTTGCAACATCCAAGCTCCTGGTTGCATCTTAGGTATAACCATGTTGGTCCATGGAGAGGTAGAGTCTTCCGTGGAAAGGCAGGAGGTACTCATTACCCAAGAGCCAAGGGGCACTGGGTATAGACCCACACCCACCCCCAGCTGTGGGGGTCAACAGGAACATTTCCGCTCACAAATCCAATATGTGGTCTTGTCACAAGACAGATCATTCCAGGTGCCCCCTTTGTTCATGCTGGCACAGTCCTCATCATGGAGGTTGTTGGGTTCCTCTGGGTCCCAAAAGCTGGAAGGAAGAAAAGTGGACATGGGGAGGGATGAATAGGTGGAGCACAGGGCAGGGCAGAGGGGAGTATTTTCAGAGCATTATATGTGATACTCTGACAGTGGATACATGACATTGTACAACACTTGGAGTGGACCCCAATATAAATTCTGGATTTGAGTTCATAATAATATATCCATATGATTCACCAATTATGACAAATGTGCCACACAGAATGCAAGAGGTTAATATGAGGGGAAACTGTGCAGGAGAGAAGGAATATAGGAAATATTTCTCTGTACCTTCTGTTCAAATTTTCTGTAAAGAATAGTCTATTAACTAAAGAAAGAATATGGCGGGGGAGGGGGGAGAGGAAAGGCCTTCATGGTTCAAGGCTCTCCCATCCTAATCATCTCTTCAGCTTTTCAGAATTACCTAAAGCTGCCACTCTACCCCCTTCATCCCCAGTTTGTCTGCCTTAACTCAGGCCCACCTCCCCATTCACCAGGACAGTCTCCTGCTCCTGAATCTGTTTCCTGCATCTGCTGTCAGTTTCTACCTCCTCTTACAAAGAATCCTTCCTTCGCCCCACCAATTCTCCCAACCTTCCAGGTACTGTAATGTCTTAGATCACATTCCCTTAAAGCGGAGACTGCTTTGGCAATTCAGGTGCATGAGATTCATTAAGGGATACTCTCAGGAGAGAAGGAGTAGAAGAAGCAGGATGGGCCAAGGGTAGGAGTTGAGCAGGGATGTGGGTTCAGCCCAATCTGATCTGACTGGGAGCTGTGGAGTATAAGTAGCACCACAGGGTTGTCTGGACTTGTGACAAAGGGTCCAGGCTTCTCTCAGCTGCTCGTTGGCTATGGACTGACCCCACTGGCAGTGGAGAAATCTTCTAGATGGGCAGACCTCCATTCAACAGAGGACAACTCTCTAGAGAAAGCATAACGCGAGCCTTTAGCAGCCCTAGCCCTGCTAGGAGAGGGCCACACCACGCCTTCTCTATCACAGAGCTGTGCCTTCTTTCAGGAATCTTTTTTTTTTTTTTTTTTAGATTTTTATTAATTTATTTCAGAGGGAGAGAAAGAGAAAGAGAGAGTACAAGTGGAAGGGGCAGAGGGAGAGACAATCTCAAGCAGACTTCATGCTGAACACAGAATCCAACAGGGGGCTGGATCTCACCACCCTCATGACCTGAGCTGAAACCAAGAGTCAGACATTTAACCAACTGCGCCACCCAGGCACCCCATTCTTCCCAGAATCACTAATAAAAAATGAGATCCCCTGCCAGAACACTAATATCCCTAATATATAAAGAGCTCTTAGAAATAAATAAAAAGGGGCACTTGAGTGGCTCAGTGGTTGAGCATCTGTCTTTGGCTCAAATCATAATCCCAGGATCCTGGGATCTAGTTCCACATTAGGTTCCCCACAGGGAGCTTGCTTCTCCCTCTGCCTATGTTTCTGCCTCTCTTTGTGTCTCTCATGAATAAATAAATAAAATCTTTTAAAAAAAAAGAGAAAGAAAGAAAGAAAGAAAGAAAGAAGAAGAAGAAGAAGAAGAAAAAGAAAGAAAGAAAGAAAGAAAGAAAGAAAGAAAGAAAGAAAGAAAGAAAGAAAGAAAAAAGAAGGAAAGAAAGGGCAGCCTGTGTGGCTCAGCAGTTTAGCGCCACCTTCAGCCCAGGGTGTGATCCTGGAGATCCCAGATCGAGTCCCATGTCGGGCTCCCCACATGGAGCCTGCTTCACCCTCTGCCTGTGTCTCTGCTTCTCTCTCTCTCTCTCTCTCTCTCTAATGAATAAATAAAATCTTTAAAATAAATAAACAAAGAAAGAAGAAAAAAATCCCAATATAAAAATATACCAATGATGTGAATAAACATTTCACAGAAAAGTCACTACCTAAAGCTATTAAACATATGAGAAGATGCCCAATCTCAGTCATTATAAGAGAAATGCAAATTAATACTATATTGTGATTCCATTTTCACCTACAATTTAGCCATCAAAATTACAAAAATTGGATGAATTTTTGGTGAAGAAAACCATAGTCAAGCCAGCAAAAGAATAAATTGGTATAACCACTATGGGGGGCAATTTGTTAGCAACTACTCAAAACACAAATACATACACTCTTTGAGAAAGTAACGCATAACAGCTAAGAGTATAGACCTTAAAGCTAGGTTGAAAGCACATGAGAAAATGCTCCGCATCACTTGCCATCAGGGAAATACAAATCAAAACCACAATGAGATACCACCTCACACCAGTGAGAATGGGGAAAATTAACAAGGCAGGAAACAACAAATGTTGGAGAGGATGTGAAGAAAAGGGAACCCTCCTGCACTGTTGGTGGGAATGTGAACTGGTGCAGCCACTCTGGAAAACTGTGTGGAGGTTCCTCAAAGAGTTAAAAATAGATCTGCCCTACGACCCAGCAATTGCACTGTTGGGGATTTACCCCAAAGATACTGATGTAGTGAAACACTGAGACACCTGCACCCCAACGTTTCTAGCAGCAATGTCCACAATAGCCAAACTGTGGAAGGTGCCTCGGTGCCCATCGAAAGATGAATGGATAAAGAAGATGTGGTCTATGTATACAATGGAATATTACTCAGCCATTAGAAACGACAAATACCCACCATTTGCTTCAACGTGGATGGAACTGGAGGGTATTATGCTGAGTGAAGTAAGTCAATTGGAGAAGGACAAACATTATATGGTCTCATTCATTTGGAGAATATAAAAAATAGTGAAAGGCTGAGAGGGGCACTTGACAGGATGAGCACTGGGTGATATGCTAAATATCACTGGGTGATATGCTATTTTGTATGTATATACACAATAAAATAAAAAAAATAAAATAAAGCTGGGTTGGTTGGCATTGCCACCTGCTAGCTCTCTGACCCGAGGCAGGTTGGTTAACCTCTCTGTGCCTCAGCCTCCTTATCTTTGAAATGGAGATTATAAGAAATAAAATAAAATAAAATGGAGATGATAATAATACTTTCCTTATAGGATTTTTTAAAAGATTAAATAAATGGGTTAATATATGTAAAGTACAGAAAGTCAGAGACAGAGACACAGAAATTCTGCTCATCGTTTTGGCAAATCAAAAGCTTCCTTTTCGTCCTGCCCTGTAGCCACCCTTCTTTTCTCCAACCCCTCACCCCATCCCAACCATTGACCTGTGGACATGTTGTATTTGACCAGTTGTGCTAAAAGGAGATATTACAATGGAGGAACATTTCAAAGGTACAGAGACCAGAAGCCCTGTAGGCAAAACAAAATTAAAAAATGACCTTGGGCCTCCTCTTTCCTGCCTGACCTGGGATTCTAGAGAATCTTCTAGCTTGGACTGTACAAAGACCCACAGGGAGCAGAGGCGCCAAGAGCCCTCAATACTTGCCTCAGAGTGACAGGTGACCCATCCAGCCACTTCCAGTTCCCTTCATGGTCCCTGTCATTCAGCCCCAGCCAGTATACCCGTGGAGAGCCATGAGCCTTGGCCACAAAATTCTGCAAATACAAACTCCACTCAGCCACCAATTCGACTACATCAAATATAAATGGTCTAAAAACACCAATTCAGAGCCAGAACTTGTCAGATTGAATTTGAAAACCAAGACCCAACTATATGCTGTCTACAAAAAAAAAAAACACTGAAAATAATGACACGGAGAGACTAATGTAAAAAGATGGGGAAAAATAAACCATGGCAAACATCTGGGCTCAAATCCCAGCTCTGACACTCACTAGTTGTAAGTGACCACAGGCCAGTTTCTTAAGTGTACTGTGCCTCAGTTTCTTCATCTGTGAAGTAAAAACCATGGACAAATGGTTTTACTATCTAGCTGTGGTAGCACCAAATCATTGCAGTTGCTTACAAAATGCCAATTCTGCTCCACAGGTAGGACTATTTTCCTACCGCCCAAAAGCATAGGAGGACTCGCCTTGTGAGCACAAGTAAGTGGAAGCTTTCAGAGTTGCCTTTCACCATCGAGCGACCGGGACTGTCTGTTACTTCAGCGTAACATAACCTCTCCTGAATCACACCCTAATTTACAGGGTTATTGTGAGGATTATGTTCATGTAAGATGTAAGATGTTTGGAGTGCAGCCTGGAGGATAGAAAGTGCCATGGTTTTATCTCCAGGTTAGAGAAAAAACAGAAACTCGGGATAAGAAACACAATCAGGATTTGAACTCAAGTAGAGCCTGTCCTCTTAACCTTGCAATTAAAAGTCTTAGTGGCTCAAAGGCAATTCCAATTTCTCTCCATGCAGACCAGGGAAGGCTATGTGAATCCCACTGGTTCTCAAGGGCTCGGAAGGGACAGATCACCTGTTCAGCAAAGCTACTGATGATGACCAAGTGAGAGTAGTTCTCCTGGCAGAACTTCCGGGCTTCATCCCAGGACTTGGTGCTTGGGGAGAAGTAGTAACACTTGCCCTCAAAGGGAAGCCAACCCTCTGGGCAAGTGACCCTGGTACACTCTGGGGACAGAAGAGGATGCTGTCAGAATGGCCCGCAGAGTCAGAGTCATGTACATAACGTGCCATATACAGTTGTGCAGGCTGTGCACTGCTCAGCTCCAGGGGCACCATTCAGATAGACTGCACTGAGAATTGCCCCCATGGATTCGTGCAGTGTGCCAGCTCTGTCATGCCCCCCATCTCAGGGTCGTTCCCCAAGCCCCACTCACCTAATAAGCCCCGAAGTTCTCCTAGGGACTTGTTGGTGTTAGTTCTTACGTGGTCAATGTCCTTCTTCAGGCCAGCTAGTCCTGCCATGCCAGTCACTGTCAGCAGAGATGGGCTGGAAGGTTAGAAACCCAAACCTTCATCTACTCACCCATCCACCATGGACTGCAAACACACCAGACAGAAGTAAGATCTATGCCAACCCCACCCCTCACCCTCTTTCTAGTGGGTGGTAGTAGAACTCAAAATGACATACACAGTGCCTAGAGGGTCCTCGAGTGGTTGGTTCAGAGGGACTGATGGCCTTGAGGAAGAGTGGAGATGGTGGACTTCCTGGAGGAAGTGGGTCTTGTTTTTCTTTAATTTTTATTTATTTGTTCGTGAGAGACAGAGAGAGAGAGAGAGGCAGAGGGAGAAGCAGGCTCCATGCAGGGAGCCCGATGTGGGACTGGAGCCCAATGTGGGACTCGATCCCAGGTCTCCAGGATCATGCGCTGGGCGGAAGGCAGATGCTAAACCGCTGAGCCACCCAGGGATCCCCAGGAGGTGGGATTTGAAGGAAGATGGCGACTCAGTATCTGTGAAAGGGAGAGGGAGACTCCACAGGCAGGGGTCACCTTGAAAGCCAAAGTGCACGGGCAAGCGTGCTGGAGAAGGCTATAGTGGTAGAGGTCAAGGCAAACCTTACAGGAGCTAAAGTTCAAAGTAGGATGAGGTCCGATGTCCAGGGCCTTGAATGCTAAGCCAAGAGTTCCGTGTTGGACTCTGGGCAGTGAGAAGCCATCAGTAGGTTTTGAGCAGAAGAGTGACTTGATCTGAGATGCGCACAGAAGACATGCCCATAGGATGGAACAATTTTCAGACTTCAACAATCATGGTGAAGGCCATGCCAGCCCAGGAGACTTCTCTACAACTAATGTGTATATTCCCACTACTCCTACACAAACGTGCCTTCTTCCAGCCTGACACCCTTCTCTCTTACCCACTGCCATTCCCAATCCATCTCCAGGTCCAATCAGTTTTACCACCTAAACCTTTCTGCTCCACCCATATCTCTCCATCCTCATGGCCACAACTCTCAGCCACCATCACCTCCTACCTGTCCAACTGCACCACCCTCCTCCCTTGTATTTATGATGCTACCTCCTACCACAGGGCCTTTGCATATGAAACCCTCAACCTCTCACGTGGTTAATTTTTTTTTCTCTTCCTTCACTCAGCAGTAGCATCCATTCTCTAGGGAAACCCTGTATGACCCTCCCAAAGATAAGGTCAAGATCCCTATGAGATTTTTTCATAGAATCGTCTTCCTTTGGACTATTCATTGAGATGTGAAACTTTATATTCATTTGAGTGATAATTTGGTAAATGATTCTCAATACCTGTGCTGTCCAACAGAAATAAAATCTAAACCACATACACAATTTCAAATGTTCCAATGGCCACATATTCTAAGAGTCAAAAGAAGTGGGCAAAATTAATTTGAATATTATTTATTTATTCCAATATATCCAAAGTATGATTTCAATGAGTAATCAATACTAAAGGTTATTATTATTAATATTGTTGAGGTATTTTGCATTCTTTTTTTGTAGCAAGTTTTTAACATTGGTGTGTACTTTACAATTACTGTACATCTCAGTTCGGAATGACAACACTGCAAGTGCTCAATAGCCAGTGACTCATGGCCACCATATTGGACAGTAGAGGTCTAGACACACACACACATATGCGCACACTCCTCAGGAACAGGAACTGTACCTGATATGTTTACTATCTTACCCATGCCCTGATACCTAGCACAAAGCTTGGCAACGATGGAATTGGAAATGGTCTTGGAGTTGGGTTTGGGGGTCATGTTGGGTGTTCAATATGCATGGCATGAAGGGTCAATTGAAAGCACTCACCATTCTCTTGCCACGCCATCTGCTGAAAGGTCAATATCCTCAGTTCTTCCACCACCTCCTGGTCTATAAGGAAGAATCCATCTTGAGCCCAAGTCCTCTCATGCCCCATGATCAATCTCTCCCCATACCCCATCCTCTTTCTACTCACACTTAATCAGGGTCACAGCCAGACCAGTGCAGCCCAGGAGCAGTGACACCACCACCAGCAGACACAGGTACACCACCAGTCTCTCCTCCTGGTAGCACCCAGGACACCTGGACTTCTGACTGAGCTGGGATGCTGGAGTTGTTGGGGAATAAGGGTGGGGACAAAGAAACCAGTATTGGAGCTTCAGAGAATGAGGAAGAGACACTTGACCCTCTCTCCAAAAACAGAGGGACAGACATATATGGCCATGACTGTATCACCAGATGGGGTCAGCAAGAGAGTGTCAGGATAAAAGAACCCTGAAGAGGGGATCCCTGGGTGGCGCAGCTGTTTGGCGCCTGCCTTTGGCCCTGGGCGCATTCCTGGAGACTCGGGATCGAATCCCGCGTCGGGCTTCTGGTGCATGGAGCCTGCTTCTCCCTCTGCCTGTGTCTCTGCCTCTCTCTCTCTCTCTCTCTCTGTGTGTGTGACTATCATAAATAAATAAAAAAATTTTAAAAAAAAACCCTGAAGAGCTCTACAAGAGTACATACTGTGCTTCAGGGCCACACCTCCCCAAATATAGCCCCCTCCCCATTTCCAAATGAAGCCACACCTCCATTCCCATCTCCACTTACAAATCCAACACCATCACCATAACCTAACACAACTACGCCCTAACCTAGAACACTGGAGAGAACTTACTGTGTGCCGAGCATCCTGTCACATCCTTATTATCTTATTGGATCCTCACCCTTATGACACAGATGTAACTATAATTCCCAGTTTGCAAATAAGTAAACTGAGGACCTCTCCAAGTCCACTGCTGCTCCTAACATTTATGATGCATGATCTAGACTCTCCAGCAGCCCCTGCCCAAGCTGCTCCCCATTCTAGGACCTTTGCATTGGGGACAGAGAATGTTTCCCATACCTCCTGGAAGTAGGAAGTGAGGCCTGAAGGGTATCAGGCAGTTACCCTGGGTCCCTCAGGATCTGGTCTAGATCAGAGAGGAGAAGCTTCTTAAGGAGACATTTCTCTGCTCCAAGGTCTCCTTCTGGGACTCTAGGTCTGAATCTAGCATACTTGCGACCAAGAAAGGGAAGACAGAGGTACACCTGGAGGGCATGAGGACTTACTAGCTAGGGATGGCTGGAACGGAGGATGTACCAGATTGACACCTGGGAGGAAGGGAGAGAAATTTTATTCAAAAGTTGTAGAAAGACTGTCTTCCAAGATCAATACCTCCCCCATCCCATCTGATTTGTTCTCTGGTCAGAACTGGAGAACTAGAGGGAGGACTTCCAGATGTCCCCTCCCAGGCTTATTAAAGGGTTTTCCCACTGCTCACCCAGTTGAGGAGATGTGCGAGTGACAGGGGTGATGTCCAGACCTAAAGAGGTCAGAAAGACAATGGTTATGCAGACCAGGGCTTCATCCAGGTAAACCTAAAGGCCCCAGCCCTAGATTCTCACCTTTGATCTTTGGGGACTTGTAGGGAAGTGGGGGGTTCTCTGTTTTCTTTCCTGGGGGAGGTAGGGGGAGGAATTGTTGCTCAGGCCCAGAGCAGGATAAGCCAGCACTGGGTCTCCTGTACCCCTAGCCCCAGCTCACCTGCCCTCGGAGGCCTAGGTGGAGCCATTGAATCTGTGAAAGAGAAGGTCAGAATTAGAACTGGTCTGAGGGTCGGAATAAGATCAGAGGCAGTAATGGAACCAGGACTCAGACTAAAATGGAGGGCTAGGGATAGGGTTGAACATGAGAATTGAATTGGGGTCAGGGATGGGGACAGGATTAAGAAAGAGCGACCAATCATCCTGGATCACCCAGGGCTTGCCCAGTTTTAAAACTGGAAGTGACAGGCACTGAGGGGGGCACTTGATGGGATGAGCACTGGGTGTTATGCTATATGTTGGCATATTGAACTCCAATAAAAAAAAGAAAAGAAAAAAAATAAAACTGGAAGTCTCACATGCCAGGAAATCACTCAGTCCTGGGCAAATTAGGACAGCTGTTAACCCTAAGTTAAAGACACAAGTGAGGGATCCCTCGGTGGCGCAGCGGTTTGGCGCCTGCTTTTGGCCCAGGGCGCGATCCTGGAGACCCGGGATCGAATCCCACGTTGGGCTCCTGGTGCATGGAGCCAGCTTCTCCCTCTGCCTATGTCTCTGCCTCTCTCCCTCTCTCTCTGTGACTATCATAAATAAATAAAAATTTAAAAAAAAAAACTAAGAAAGTTTAAAAAAAAAAAGACACAAGTGAGTCTGGGCTAGAGTTGGAGTCAATGCTGTGGTTGGATGAGGATGGGATTGAAGATGGGTTGGGCACAGTGATGGACATGGGAGTAGGATTGTGATTTCGGATGTGGTGGAGATAAAGATTGGGACTGGAGCTGCACTGGGGTATGAGGGGAAAGTCACAGACCTGCTCCCTGCATGGAGCCTGCTTCTCCCTCTGCCTCTCTCTGTGTCTCTCATGAATAAATAAATAAAATCTTTAAAAAAAAAAAAAAAAAGAAGTGGTGGATACAGCACCCCACCCCTCATGGAATGGCCACTGTCCAAGGCTACCAACACAACACAGTCAACACTCAGGGGCCCTGATGGGAGTTGGCTCAGGGAAATCTCAAAGCATTAAGTCTTTTTTTAAAACCTTCACTTTTGGGATCCCTGGGTGGCGCAGCGGTTTGGCGCCTGCCTTTGGCTCAGGCCACGATCCTGGAGACCTGGGATCGAATTCCATATCGGGCTCCCGGTGCATGGAGCCTGCTTCTCCCTCTGCCATGTCTCTGCCTCTCTCTCTCTCTCTCTCTCTCTCTCTCTCTCTATCATAAATAAATAAATTTTAAAAAAATAAAATAAAACCTTCACTTTTATATCCACTTATCAGACTCTCGTTGAGCCCTGGGCCAGGCATGGAGCACCCAGGTCTAAAAGTCAATCTGGGCCCAGAGTGTGAATGCAAGGAGGCTGGGGAGCCACTGGTGCACTCACAGTTTTATGAAACACCAGCTTTCATGTCTCAGGACCTTTGCTTCCTCCACTTCTCTACTGGGCTTCTCTTCCTAACAAACTCCAACTCATCCCTTAAATCCCACTCCAATACCCCCTCCTCTGACCCCAATACTCCAATACTCCTACCACCTAATTCCCCTCAAGATTTCCTTATTCTCTTGATCACTCCCTCCTCAGACCTGCTCACCTGAGGCTGTGCCCAGAACTGCCTCTCCCATCAGACAGAGAGATACTCCCACCAACATGGTACCTGGCACAAGCTGGGTACACAGGAGGCTGACTCTGTGTCTCTCATGCCCAGGTAATGTCCCTTGGGGACCCTGCTTTCCCCAGGCCACAGGCCACACAACCCTTCTCCTGGCTTCCGAGAAGTCCTCTTACCTGGCTTGGGAGGAAGGTCCTTATAGGGTGGTGCCATGTTTTCATAATCATCACCATCATCATTGTCCTCCTCTCTGGTCCCTTCCAGAGGAAAGGCAAATGAGAGCCCAGCCCATTCCCTCCTCTGTCCCTCAGGCCCCAGGTTCCAGCCACAGAGTGGGGATACTGTAATCTGGGTCCCGATCATCCCTGGCCCCCAGCTCAAGACTAGCCAGGACCATACCTTGCAGGTCCTGGCACCCAGAGTTGGTGTACATGTACATGGCTGCAGCTAACACAGGAGCCTGAGAAGGGAGAACCAGAGCTTGGCAGCTTCTACCTCCTAAGCCTCCAGCTCAGGTGCCTGAGGCTTCTCTCAGTTCCCTTTTTCGTCAAAAGTCAAGTACATGCAAATCCACTTTGAGGGGAACCACCCAAACCACACACACACACACACACACACACACACACACCTTTCTTCCAGTTTGGATTCATACACAGAAGTGACAATGACAGTAACCCCTGCATTCTATCAGGCCCCAGGTGGAAAAGATGGATAAGCTCCTTCCTTCATGGAAATTTCCATCAATACAGGACAGACACTGAACTAGTATAAATATGGAAATAAACAATATGGTTTGGGTTTTTATCGTATTTCCGATAGTCACTAAGCATTATTTAAAACACAGTAAGATAGGAGCGCCGGGGTGGCTCAGTTTGTTGAGCACCTGAATTCAGTTCAGGTCAAGATCCCAGGGTCCTGGAATAGAGTCCCATATCAGGATCCCTGCTGAGTAGGGAGCCTTCTTCTCCCTCTCCCTCTGCTGTTGCCTTGCCTGTGCTCTCTCGCTCTCTCTGACAAATAGATAAAATCTTTGTAAAAAGTAAAAAACAATGAAATAAAACAGAGTAATGGGAGAGGTTGGGGCTAACGTATAGAGAGATAAAGAGGGAGGGCCTCCTGGAAGTGACATTTGCAACAAAATGTTAAAGTGATAGGTGCTCAGGGCTCTCTCCTTCCACAGTGAAGTGCTGGGACACTGGTTCAGTTATCCCTGGCTGAATAATGATAGCAAGCTCTTATTATCTCGAAGTCTCTCTGGCTCTGAGTTCAAGAGCAGCTTAGCTGGGTAGTTCTGCCTCAGGACCTCTCATATGCACTCAAGAGGCTCCCTGGGGCTGCAGTCTCTGACGGCTGGGCTGAGGCTGGAGGATCTGCTTCCAAGATGAAGCGCTCTCTCCGAGGGCTGATCAAGTGTCCCTCAATGTGGCAGAGGCCAAGGTGGAAGCCTCTGCACCTTTTATGATTTTGCCATGCAAGTCACAAACTGTGATCCTTTTTTCACATGAATCAGCTCAGTCATGGAGGGAGGGGACAACACGAGGATGTGAACAAGAAGATGTAAGGGTCATTGGGGGCTGGTCACCACAGTCACATACACAGAACTTGCAAAGGAAGGTTTTTCGTGTGAGCTTGACATGGACTGGAAGCTATTTAAAAAGTGAAAATTAAAGACAGAAGTCTGTCCACCCCACAGGTAAAGCAAGGGATGAGGATCTGGCTCGTAACCAAAACAGCAAGAAGCAAAAGCATGGATTTAGGGGAAGGGGCTGCAGGAGGAGTGGTTGCATGTTTCGATTCAGCACAGATGTGGGAGTTTCCTGTGAGCCAACTGAAGGCGGTAAAACAACCAGGCTGGAGCCATTTGGAGAACTCATCTGGAGGGCAGCCTGCCTGTGGACCCCAGAGGACCACCATCAGCCTTTGGGGCCAACGGCCTCAGAATCATCCATGACTCCTCTCTTCTCTCATTCCATGACTCTGGCAAATTGAATTTTCAAAAGATGACAGCAACAGTATCTCTTTCTGCCACGTGTTCTTACGTGATGTGACCTTCCCATTCCATCAGAAAGTAGAGTCTGGGGGCTTCCCTGGTGGCTCAGTCGGTTGAACATCCCCAACTCTTGATCTCAGCTCCAGTCTCGATCTCAGAGTTTTGAGTTCAGGCCCACGTTGGGCTCCATGCTGGGTGTAGGTCCTACTTTAAAAAAAAATTTTTTTTATTTTTTAAAAGATTTATTTATTTATTTATTTATTTATTTATTTATTTATTTATGGGGGGGGGGCAGAGACACAGGAGGAGGGAGAAGCAGGCTCCATGCCAGGAGCCCGACATGGGACTCAATTCCGGGACTCCAGGATTGTGCCCTGGGCCAAAGGCAGGTGCTAAACTGCTGAGCCACCCAGGGATCCCCAAAAATATCTTTTTTAAATAAAAACAAGTAGAATCCAATTCTCCTTCCCTTGAATCTGGGATGGTGTTAGTGATTCCCTTATAACCAAGAGAATGTGTCAGATGTGACAGTGGCCGTGCAGCTTCCACCTGGTTCAGTCAGAACACTTGCTCCCTGCCTTCATGTTGTGAGGAAACCCCAGCCACATGGAGGTGACCCACTCAACAGTCCCAGCTCAGGCTAGACTTCAAGTCATCCCAACCCAGGTGCTAGACATATGCGTGAAGGCACCTCCTGATGTTTCTACCCCTCAGAATAGTAGAGGCACATCCAGCCTGCTGAGCCTTCCCATCTCAGACCCCAGACATCATGGAACAGAAACCAGGTGTCCCTACCAGACCCTGTCCCAGGGAATCTGTGAGCATACTGAAGTGACTTTTTTTTTTTTTTTGCCATTAAGTTTGGGGTGGTTTGTTCAATACCGTAGAGATTGGAAATCTGGCAAACCTGTTAGAAATTTTGGTCAGCTCTACTTTCATGATATACCCAACATCTGAGCTGAGCTCACCTCCCAGTCTGACCATCAGCAGCTTTCACCAGGATTACAGTAATAGCCTCCTCCTGGTCTGCCTGCTTCTGCCCTTGCCCTCATATCATGGAACCCATAGAAGCAGAGAGGTGGTTGCCAGGGGCTGGAGGAGGAGAAACTTAAGGGGTACAATGTTTTAGTTATGTAAGATGAATAAGTTCTGGAGGCTTGATGTACAACAATGTGACTATCGTTGACAGTATTGTAGTGTGTACTTGAAATTTGCTATGAGGGTAGATCTTGGGTTCTCTCCACACAAGAAAGAAAAGAAGAAAAGAAGAGAAAAGAAAAGAAAAGAAAGAAAAGAAAAAAAGAGAAGAGAAGGGGAGAGAAAAGAAAAGAAAAAAAGAAAAGAAAAAACAAAAGAAAAAGAAAGGAAGAAGAAAGAAAGAAAGAAAGAAAGAAAGAAAGAAAGAAAGAAAGAAAGAAAGAAAGAAAGAAAGAAAGAAAGAAAGAAAGAAAGAAAGAAAGTCACCTGAGTGGCTCAGTGGTTGAATGTCTGCCTTTGGCTCAGGGCGTGATCCTGGGGTCCTGGGATCGAGTCCCACATCGGGCTTCCTGCATGGAGCCTGCTTCTCCCTCTACCTATGTCTCTGCCTCTTTCTGTATGTCTCTCATGAATAAATAAATAAAATCTTTATTTTTTTTTAATAAAATCTTTAAAAGAAAAAAGGAAGTGGTAACTATCAGGTGATGGATATATTGATTGGCTCAGTTGTGGTGAATATTTCACAATGTCCATGTATATCAGATCATCAGTTTGTACATCTTAAATACGCATGTAATATCTAATTTATCTTGGGGGCATAAAAGAAGTCCGAAGTCAAGGTGTTGGCACAAGCACACTCTTTCCAGAAGCTCTAGGGGAGAATCCTTTCTTGCCTCTTCCCCAGGCTCCTGGTTATTCCCTGGCTGGGGCCACGTCCCTCTGATGTCTGCCTCTGTGGCCACCCCGCCTTTCCCTGTGTATGTCTGGGTCTCAAGCCTCTTTCTTCTTTCTCTGAAGCTTTATACCATGCTGGTGGCTTTGAAGATGCAGGAAGTGGCCACGAGCCAAGGAATGCAGCTCTAGAAGCTTGAAAGGGCAAGAAGACGGATTCTCCCACTAGATCCTCTGGGGGAACGTGGCCCTGCTGATGGCCAGTTTGGGCCCCATCAAACAATTTGAACTTCTGACCTCGAGAATGATAAAAGAGTCCGTTACTGTTGTGTTAAGCCACTAAATTTGTGGTGATTTGTGACAGTAACCACAGGAAACGATTCCATACCGTAAGGGGCAAGACCCCAATTCTCCCTCTAAAGGGGCTTTCCTGCTAAAAGTAAAAGGAATCGCAATTCAAATTGGGCCTGAGAAACAAGGAAATCCCGCCAGGCCTGTATACACGTTAAAATATCAGGCTGGGCTGCTGTAACAAGTTTAGAATAAGAGCAGCCTTAAATAGAATTTCTTGCCTCACAGATCAATATAAGCAACCCACAGTCTCCACAAGCGGAAAATCTTCGTAAGCACGTGGGGAAGGAGTGAGGCATGAGGTAGCCGACCAGCCTCCCTCTCCAGAGAAAACTCACCCCAGGGGCTGGGCTTTCCCCTGATAACACCTCATAACATAATGTGCACAGCCTCCGCAGCCCACCTGATGGGTAGGTGCAGCCATCCCCATTCCACACGTGGAGAAATGGAGACATCTGAGAAAGACGCATCCTGTCTGCTGAGCACACACACAGGACCATCAGGCTCCAGATGGATAAGTGGGGTCAGAGGGGAGGGAGAGGACGGAGGTGGGGTTACACCAGCCAAGTGCACGGATGATGGCATCTCTGCCCAGCAAGGCCGCCCCTTGAGGTGAGTGGGCCTAGGGCAAGGAAGTGCAGTGATGGCCAGATAGTCTCACTGTGAGGGGGTGATGGCCACAGCCAAGGCCATCCTTCAGGACCTGCCACATAGTAGGTGCTCAGGAACTATAGTAGAGCAATCCGGTCCCATCAACTAGGTATCACATAAGGCTGACCCAGCTCTGACCCCAGCTCTGCCCCATTCTTGCTGTGTGACCTCAGGGGAGTAGAATAACATTTCTGAGCAAGGGCCTCCTGATACGTCCAATGGGGAATGGGGATTCAGTTGTTCATTCACCCACTCAACAGACAGGTACCGATAACCTGCTATGTGTTAAGCTACGTTCTAGGTACCAGGGATATATTGCTGAACAACGACACCAGCAAAAAAATCCCTTGCATAAAAAGGAAGATCACAGAGTGGAAATCTTACCAAGCATGTCCTCAGACTAGAACCGAATTAAATTAGAAATCACAGAATGATATCTGGAAAATCCACAGGTATTTGGAAATTAAATCACACCCACAGGTCAAAGAAGAAGTCAAAAATCAAAAATATTTTCACCAGTAAAAAAAAAATTTTTAAATATAGATATTTTTTCAACTGGGGGCACGTGGGTGGCTCAG